TGGTGGAAAAAGGGATGTCAAGTAGGTGTTTGGTGAGCCAAACACAGGGTATCTGGGTGGCTTGTGTCTTTTTTCTTCTTGTCCAGGTGTCTACACATAGTTTGTACTATTGAAGGAAAGACAGAAGGATGTGCCAAAGGGACACAGGGAAGAGCGGAAAGTTCCTGAGAGTTGCAGCTGGCTGCCTTGAGAAAAAAACAGTTTATGAATTACAATGCAGAGTATAAAATAAATATTCATGGTCCCCTGGTGATATTACTGAATGATTAAGTAAATAGCAGGGGAGGGGAGGCCAGCTCCAGCGCAGAATTCCACACACTACTCAGCTGCTTCACTCTCAGGGTGGCAGGATGCAGTCCTACGCCAAAGAGGACGGAAGAGCCAGCCACAGCAGAGGGGCCTGACAAACGCCGCCCGCCAGCCAGGGCACAGGCACCGCAGTGTCCTGATGACTGCCTTCCTCTGTGATCTTCTAGCAAGTGCCATTGCAGTGGTATTTGCCACAAGATCACAGGCAATTGGAAGCTCAACGTGTGTGGGGGGATCCCAGGAGGGACCCCTGTAGGAACCAACCCCATGCCTCTCCACTGCCCATCATCTAAACAAGGGAAGCCCAAAACGCATTGCAGGGTGCCACAAGCTTCTTATAACTCAGTCTCTGCGACACAGGGAACAGTACTCATCCCTAGGATTCCCCACCCTTTTCTTTTCATACCACTCTGTAGCCCTTCCCTGAGTTACCCCTGCTCCTTTGAACCTTCATACTCATCTCAGAGGTCGTATCTTTGTCTTTGTTTCAGAGAGTCCTTCCCAGGCCTTCCTGAACAGAGATAGTGGGCTTTGTGCTGGAGGAGACTAATTAATGTTCCCAGGAAGCTCATTATGTTTCCTTGGGAAGAAAGTACAATAGGATTATGGTCAGTCAGCTCACTGAGATTGGAGCAGTCTCGATGTGCCGCCCGCTGATCCCCATAGGCCCATCATTATCTTCTCCAGATTAGCTTGACCTCCATCTGAAAGACCATCCCGGGAGTGTCCACAGAGAGGCTGGTTCCGGTGGCCCACACCCTGCTGGAAGCTGTATGCTCTTCTACGGTGCTGGTCCCTAGTCAGCCCACACCAGCTCCCTGCCCAGCACAGTGTCCCTCCCAAAATAAGACCCTGCAGAGAGAGTCATCTGCTTAGACCTTGACCGTGGCTTCCTCCCATGTCAACTTGACATCTGTTTCCCTTCCCTGTGCATCAGTTTCCACACCTAGTAAGTAGAGATAGTAGGATGAGAATTCCCCTTTTAGAGTTCCTTTAGAGTTGAACGCAACATGGTTGCACCATGGAGTGCAGCCGGCCCAGAGTGAGAGAGGCCAGCCTAAGGACTAAGTCTACACAGGAGGATAGTGACTCGAGGAGGATAGTGAGTATGTCTCAACCGTGACTGCACTAGAGGTCACAGCACAAATGAGGGGCAGAAAACCCAGACCCAGAAGGCTCTAAGGCACTGCCAATGCGGGTAGACTGTTTCCTGCATGGAGAACTGGGAGAGTTTCTGGGGGCTTCAGCTTCCCACCAGGAAGTAGACAGCAGACTGGGACTAGAGAGTTCATGGCAGGGAGCCAATCCTCACTAAGCCATCCCCTGCTGTGCCTCAGTGATTGCAGAGCCAAATGGCTATGGTACCCCATGCCTGAATGCTGTGTGGTGGGGTCACTTTCTCAGTTGACCCAGTACACTGACCCTAAGGTCTGACTTGTGAGGAGCCCTCCAACCCCCCCTTTCACCTCTGAAGCCCTCCTGTGAACCCACAGTGTGATATCAGAGTCTTGGCTACCTTTCTTGACTATTCCATGAAGTAGAGGGAAGTCCCAAGCAACTCAAAGGAACTGGCGTCCATGGGGACTTGGCAGCCTAAAAGGATGCTGAAAAGATGGTGGGTCAGGTAGCCTCCCAGATCACAGCAAAGGCCTCACAGCTGGGCTGTCTGAGGTCCTTGATGCCACACAGCTGGGTATTGTGGTGGCTTCTCCTTTGGAAGCTTTGATGGGACTGAACACAGTGTGGAGCCACAGATCACCCCAGTTATGGAGCTTCATCTGCTGCTTTCAGAGATACATGGGACCTGGGGTGCTCACACAGCCTGTGGACCTCCTGTCACCACAAATGCTCCACAGTGGGGCATGCTGTGCACCGAGAAGAGAGGGATGTGGTAGTCCCCACAAAGCCAAGCTGCCAGAGTCTCCCAAATGACCCATTCCCGTGAGCCTCTTGGGGGCCTGCCTCCAGCAGAACCAAATCTGTGTTGTGGAAACATAAGCTGAATGGCTCTCCCTTCCCCCTTGGCAGAGTTCCTGCCTCAGTTAACAATGTTCTATGACAGGGGCTGAATATGGACTGCTCACCCAGGATGAGGGCTGGACATCCAAGGGAGGGTATGCTGGATTCCACTCCTGGAGGTCCAGGGGCCATTTTTCTCTGCCTCTTCTAGCACCATGTGTCCAGCTGCCAAGGTCACCATCTCTGTGCCCTTGGCCTCTCTTATTAGGACACTATTGCTGGACTTACCTTAAATCTAGGATGGCCTCCTCTTGAGATCCTGCCCCTGTCACTAATGACCATGTTTCCAAGTAAGGTCCTTGTTGTGAGTGCATCAGAAAAACAAATGGATATGTTTCTATCCTTCCACAATGTCAGAATGTATTGATTGGCTAGTATTCAATTCACAAGTGACCTCAGTCTGTTGTCTGAAATTTTGCCAACTAGTCTTGATTCCCTCGATAGCTGTCCAAGGTGTGGATACTGGTTATTTATTTCAATCTTAATTATCAATATTAACTCTCAGATAACAGTTTCATAGAATGCAGATGTGTGTGTGTGTGTGTGCGTGTGTGTGTGTGTGTGTGTGTGTGTTCCTACCTATCTCTATATGTAGGTGTCCTGGTTTGTTCTTTGTCAGCTTGAGAAGAGAGAACTACAGTTGAGAAAATGTCACACCAGATTGGCCTGTGGGAAATGTTCTTCATTAGTGTGTAATAAGGGAGAGCTCAGCTCACTGTGGGTGGTACCAGCCAGCTCTGTGCAGGTATAAGAAAGCATGCTGAGCTAAGCTAGTGAGCGGCACTCCTCCATAGCCTCTGCTTCGGTTCCTGCCTTTATGTTCCTGCCTTTTTTGAGTTCCTGATCTGACTTCCATTGGTGATGAAGTGTGACCTGAGAGTTGTAAGCCTAAATAAGCCCTTTTCTCCCCAAGTTGCTTTTAGTCATAGTGTTTATCATAACAATAGAAACCCTCACTAAAACAGTAGGTTACAACGTGGATACAAAAACTGAAGAGGCCTAGCAGGTTCAAGAATTTGAGAGACCTAACCGAAAGCAAGCCAAAGCCAGTGTGGGTGAAAAGAAACTTTATGGAACTAAGATGATGGGGTGCGCTAGAAGCTGTGCTGCAAAATCAGCCATGGGGGTCAGAGCTGAGCTGAGCTTCAAACTCAATGCAACTCCAGGAATAAGGTGCAGAACCGTGGGGCCTGGAGACTGTAAGAGGAAGGGCAGGCCCAGATACAGAGGGATGGTCAGGTGGCTGAATGGATGTCAGGTCTATACGGGCATAACAGGTGGGCAGAGAGAAGGACAACGGTCAGAGTAGGCCATAGCCACCATGGAAACCGAGTTAAGCTGAAGCCTTTGGGCCAGTTGGGAGTTCTCTGCTTCATGTCCCTTGATGCACATGTGAGTCACGTGACAGGCAGGTCACCATCACGGTGTCAGGTGACCTCGTCTTCGTTTTAAATTTTAAATTTTACTCTTTACATAAATGGCATCCTCACTGCCATCTCCTCCATCCCCCCTCCCAGTCTCACCCCTAGCACACCCCCTCTCCCATAGATCTACTCCTCCTCCGTTTTCCACCAAAAAGAAAAAAAAAAAGATTAGAGCTCCCAGGGATATTAACTGAACATGACATAACAAATTAAAATAAGACTAGGTACAAACCCTCATAGCAAGGCTGGATGAGGTGACACATTAGGAGGAAAAGGGTTGCAAGTATAGGCAAGCGAGTCAGAGGTAACCCCCATTTCAGCTGTTAGGGGTCCCACAAGAACACCAACTGGGCAACTCTAATGTGTAGGCAGAGGCTCTCACACAGCCCTATAACAGAGTTCGTGATTGGCATTTCAGTCTCTGTGAGTCCTGTAGGCTCTGCTCAGTAGATTCTGTGGGCCATGCCCTCTTGGTGACCTCTTCTTTATGGTGTTCAGATGAAGGTGTTGCACCCTTTCCTCAGTCTGGTGCGTAATAAGTTCCTGACCTGTTTCTCCTGAGGTGATTTAATACATTCATTTACTCAGAGAGTCGAGTTTACTTTGATAAATCTCCATGATGACACCCTTCCTGCTTTTAGGGATAGGTCATTTTGCTGGCTAGGTGGTCATGTTTACGTGCCCACCAAGGCACAGTCACCCCGTCCCTGTGTTTGTGTTCACAATAGATCCAAATGCCCCTGGTAACATTTACTCTTTGCAGACAAGGAACAGACCCCAAACCACTTTTTACACAACATGAAGGTCTTAGGGCATGATGTGCTTTCAAAACTCACTCTCCCAGGGCCTTAGAGTGTGGGTGCATCATTTCAGGAGACACTAGTCAGCTGGCTGTGGTGACCTTGGAGTAGCCCTCCCACCTCCACCAGCTCCCCATCCACCTTTTAAGCCCAGGGCTAGCACAACCTAATCCAGCATCCTCCTCTGCAGGCAGATGCCTCCACTCCCATCACCCACATCCCACACATCCTGAGTACTAAATAGTCCTTGAAGTCCTCATTCAGACATCCTGGGCAATACCCACACCTGCCTCAGCTCTCCTCAGAGCCTTGAACGTCAGGATTCCAGGCCAAGCCACAGCTCTGCCACAGGGCCTTCATGAAAGAGTGGTTGGGTGGGGAGTGGCAGTGAGGGAGCACACCCCTCCTCTCAGCCACCCCTATTTCAGTCTCACATTCTGCATTTCAGATCATCCTGGTGAGTTCGTCCCTCGGCGACCGGGAACAGAGCCTCTTCCTCAGCACCGATGAGGGTACCACCTTCCAGAAGTACCCTGTCCCCTTCCTTGTGGAGACTCTCCTCTTCCACCCGAAGGAGGAGGACAAGGTTCTTGCTTACACCAAAGACAGCAAGGTAAGAGGACATGGGATGTGAGGCCTCACGACCCATGACCAATCAGATGACCATCAGGACCAAAGCAGCTCTCCTGTCAGGGGACTCCACCCCCCCCCAGCTAATGGGGTACAGCCTTGCTGGAGCTAGGAGGCCTGACCCTCACATTGCCCTTATTGACACACACACACACATACACACACACCCCAGCATGGGGAATCTCACATCAGTGGTGTGTGTTACAATGAGTGGAGGTGGCAGTGAGTGGCCCTTGACACAGGGAGGGCTGTGAGCTGGGTAAGGAGATCTTAGATCATCCTGGGTCCTTGCCCTCTGCCTCTCCTCCTCTCCTTAGGCCAGTAGATGCTCAGATGGTGGGGCACTGGTTGGTTTTGTATAGCCGTGATGTAGCCAGTGACCACAGATTTAAGGGATTAAATGACAGAAATGTGTCTTGTCACAGACCTAGAGGCCAGAAGTGTAAAATTAATAGCTTTGGACGGAGGTCAAGTGCCCCTGAGACTCTGGGAAGAGCTGGTCCTCCTTTTCCAGTCTTGGTGGTTACCATGTGCTTTGGGTTAAATTGACATTGTTGTATCTTGCAGGGCAGCCTAGTTAAGTCTCTTCTCATCTTTAGGATACATACATGGACATGCTTGGTGTGCCTAGTCCATGACTATATATCTGCACCCTCCTGTAGTCCCTGTCTTTCATGAAGACCGAGGGAACTACACTCCAAGCCCACTAGATAATCTCCATATCCTGAAAAGCACCTCTGTGAAGCCCTTTGGGGCCATATGATAGCATGGCCATTAGTTCTAAGCATCAGAGTATACCTACCTTGGAGTGGAAAGACAGGCTGCCACCATACCTTATTGCAGGAAAGAGAAAGGTCCCAGGAAGGGACTCTGGCTCTGGTGATAGCTATGCAGTGCCTGCCACACTGTAGCTATCAAGGAAGAAGAGCCACAGCCCCTCTCCTCCTGCCAGCCAGGCTCTGCTCCTGCCACTTTTGGCTGTACCCAGCCAGAGGTTTGAACACAGCCAGTGGAAAACTGCTATTCATCAGCCCCTAAGACAGGGACAGGCATGAGGCCCAGTGTGGCTCCATTCCCTCAGACCTCTGTACCTGAAGGGCAGCCAGCAGGGACCCACCTTCCATGTTCTCCCAGGGTCCTGTGCCTCGTTCTTGATGTTAACATGCAGCTGTGTGTTTCTGCCAGTGTTTGATCACTGTCTGCCTCCCACACACACCAGGGCTGAGCTCTGGGAAAGTAGCCGTGTTGGTTTTACATTTCACCATTCTAATCTTGAGTGTTTTCTAAAATTCTATGATGGGTGGATACATTATGAACATAGGAAGGGATAGATGAATGAATAGATTTTTGGATAGACTGATAGTTTATAGATAGACGTTTTAAAGGAGTATGAATAGATGAATGGATGGGTTCGGGCATAAGGCCAGATGGGTAAACAGATGAGCACATAGGAATGTGAGATGCGTAGGTAAGTAGTATGGTGGATGATATGTGGATGTAAGGTAGATGGTGAATGAATAGATGAATGGATAGTAGTCGATTAGCTGAATGAACATATGGCTCAATCACAAATTCCTACTAACAGGGATCAGCCAGGTAAGAGAACCCTAAGTAGAACCCTTGGTGGTGGCCAAGCCCATCTTTCCCCAGAGCCCAGCCTCCTCTCCAAGGTCTATCACATATTGTCCAGTGTCATGGCCTATGGTTGCCTGTTCCTATCCCTTCCCCTCAGGTCTGCACAGCCTTCTGGGTATTAATAGCGTTACTTAGCCTTCCATGTAATTAGACCAAAGCACAGCTACGCCGAGTTATTTTCCTGAAGAAATTGACTGTGTCGCAATTGCTCTTTAATTTATGGTGCCCTGAAAAATTAATGGAGCTGAAACCACGGTTATTTTCCTTGGCTCTTTTCTGTGATGACAAGGAAAGAAAGGAGAGAGAAAAGGTTTAATTGCTGATATAAAAGGCATGAGGGATTTGGGGAAATCAGTAAGTGATGGGCGGCTTGAGTTTTGTGGGGGCTCGGTGGTCTGTCAATGCTTTCGGATGCCCACGAACCTGGGTGTTTATGGAATCAGGCCAGCTCTGACTCTACAAACCTGCTGTGTGTAGACACTGCTGAGAGGCACACACTGCACACACCTCTGGCTCAGGGCAGTGAATGCTCTGGGAACTGGCTCTGTTCTGGGAAGTACGCTGTTATCACCACACGCATGGAAGGAAATGCAAAAACTTTAGCAGTTGACCAGGCAGAGCCGTACACCAGGTCCAGAACCACCAGGGTAGGCACAAACAAACAGGACTGTCCACTCAGACCCAGACTCTTTGCCTCTGCTCTGTCATTCCCCACCTCTCTTTCACTTCTCTTACCTCCTTCCTCTTCCCAGATGCCTGCTCCTGCTCTAACAAAGGACACTTAGGTGTTCTGCCTCCCTCTATTTCCTCACTACGCAATGATCTGGGACATGGTCTGAGGTACCTTACTGCACTCTGGCCTGGCTACCTGGGTGACACCCAATATACGTTTCTCTCAGGTTTTAGCAAGCTCTGGAGGCTCCTAGAACTAGAAGTCCTTTCCTACCCAGACCTCTTAGGACTGCTGTCTTATCATTCACAGCCTCATCTCTCTGGGCTTGAGCTATGGCTGGCAGAACTGGGGTCACTGACTTCTAAAATATGGCCAGATGCACCTTGTTTTGCTTGTTTTGCTTTGCTCCATTATACCCCACCTCTCTTCCAGTCAAGAACCTCTTCTGGGGCTGAGGAGAAGGTTCAGTCTGCAAAGTGCTTTTTGGACAAGCATGAGGACCTGAATTCACATCCCAGCTCCTATGTAAAAGTCAGAGTGTGTGTTTGTCTCCGCATCTCAGAGCTGAGCATGGTCCCTGAGACATGCTGGAGACCAGAAGTGCCCCCAAGGAGAGAAATAGAGAGAGAGGGGAGAGAGAGAGAGAGAGAGAGAGAGAGAGAGAGAGAGAACACCTCATCTCGCTTTGGTTTTCCAAACCCCGTGAATGCATTCCTCCTCTGACCTGTCAGTTTAGCTGCAAGGGAGTCAACGGAATGGCAGGTGTTAGTAAAGACAACAAGGCATTCTAAGCAATGGAGAATGAAAGCTAAGGACCTTCAATGGTGATGTCACCACAGCTTAGGGCAGAGCTGCTACCTCTCTGATCACATTTGGGGGTCACTGATACACTCCCATGTTATAACTGCCCTTGATATCACCTTCTCCTTATCTTGACTGCACTTTCTCACTTTACCTTTTCTCAGAGCAACAAAACTTTAAAATGCATCCCACTGCTCTCCTGAGACACACACTCTAAAGCTGATCTACCACCCTGTCACAGGCTACCTCTATGCAGATTTTAGCTACTGGAACTAGGGCAATATCTCCAATGTTCATTCATGTTTATTTTCTGTTTATCTTTTATTAAGCAGAACTTTTCTATTTCTGCAGCAATTGATGGCAGATAGTAAAATCAGAGCCTCCTCCCCAACCCCTCACGAGACTAAATTGGAAAGGCTACATAAAACTCTGGGATGGGCATCATAAACACAAGCACGTTGGTGGTGATAACAATGATAATGCCACTTATTAATGCGTAAACTTTGTCTCCAGGCCCCTAAATGCTTGTCTTCTGGACTGACTGGCTATAGGTGTGAGCAATGGTTTACCAATTTGAAGATGGATAAACTGAGTTGTGATCTGGAAAGGGGCTGGTCATTCATATGACCAAGAGAGAGGGACAGAATTGACCAAGCATCCTTCTTATGGGCACATTTTTCCACTGACATAGTACTGTGAACCCAAGTCTATGAGATGAGACTTGCTGCTATGTGCAAATGCTGTGTCATGCTGAGCAATGTATTTACCTCCATAAGCCTTAGTTCTCCCATCTTGTAAAGATAGAAAAATTATCCATTTAATGGTTGTGTCTTTGAGAGAGACAGAGAGACAGAGAGAGATAGTCTGTGTGAGCCTAAGTGTGTGTTTCTGTGTGGGCTTTCAGTGAGACAGTGTTTGATATAAATCACAGCCATGGGTACCCATGTGCCTTGATAGTTATTGAGCCTTAGATCATGGCAGTCATGAATCCAGGGAGGTCACAGGTCACAGGAGTACCGTGCCTGGCCGGCAGTCATTCTAGAGAGGAATCCTTCCTTGTTTGACTCCCTTTTACAAATGGAAGGCAGTGCTTTCTTATCATGTGATCCAGAGCAGGTGTCTATACATAACGTCCAGCTACTTGTTAAGTTCGTTTGGCATTCAGCCATGCCTGCATGTCTAACCTGGATTCCTGACTCTCTTAGCTTCTGCTTAAAGGCAGAGGTGAGAGTTCCCATAGAGACCACTCAGCCCACCAAGCCAGAAATACTTACTCTCCTGCCCTCTCTAGCTAGCCCTTGCCCCACGGCCAAATGTGCTCATTCATTCAGAAAACTCACTGGCATACCTGGCAGACAAGGATCTATTCAGCAATGGTGCAGAAGGTGAGGCAGGCGGGTGAGTGCCCCAGGCAGCCAAGGGTACACAGAGATGGGAAATGGAATGGAAGGAATTGAGCCTGAAGCTGGGGGCTCCAAATCCAGGGTCAATTCCCAGTGCTTTGTTCTGAGCTGAGGGGCTTCCACTGCATGTTACCCAGCTCCCTGGCACTTTATAGGGTGACTGAGGTATCCCACTATGCCCCTTTAAGGCTGGAATGCGGAATCCTGGATTTTAACATGGGAAACTGAGGCTTAGAAGAAGCCGGAACACATGCATGGTTGAGCAGCTGTGGATGAAGGGCTCTGACAGAAGCCACGCCGCTGGAGTCTCAGGCTCCCCCTTCAGAATGTCACTGGCAAGGGTGATGTTCGGTGATTGAGGAAACTGAATGTCCTAAAGGCAGAGAGCAGAGGCAGAGCGCTGTCAGCTGCAAGTAACAGACAGCGCCACACAGCTCAATGTGCAGAACTGTGTGGGGCCAAAGGGGCTTCCAATGCCCACACATCTCCAGAAAGAGAGGAAGGGCACAGTTGTCACAGTAAGCCAACGCTGGAGGTGACACCCATAAAACCATAAAATAATGCAAGTCGAAGATGCCCTTGGGACCATGGTGACAGACTCACCGCATCCATGCCTTCTCTCTCAGTATGTGAAAGGTTAGCATTAAAACCATTCAAGGAAGACATGAGAATGCAGGGCCTGGGACATAGGAGAATTAGGGACATGTGTGCTGGGATTCGCTGTGTCTGTCCTGTAGCAAATGCATGCTTGGATTACCTATTCTACAGCTGGGCTCCAAGGCTGGCCAGATGCCAATCAGACTGACTGGAGAGAAGTCAGTCTGCCTCCATTGAGGCCTTCCTGCTGCCCCACCCCCACCATAACAAACAGACAGCTTGCCCAGCAGAAAGCCACTCTATTCAGAACTACTCCCTGACAGCCTGAGAGTTGAAGTCACAGCCCACTCTGGCTTCACCCTCAACCAACAGCCTCTTTCTTGGCCACTGGCAGACAGCAGCAATTCTTGTCCAGTGAGGTCACAGGGCCCTGGACAGAAGTGTCTCCCTCAGAGGGCGTTGGACTCAGGGAAGTCCTGAGAAGGACTGGGGGAGAAAGAAAAGAAGCAGGGCCCCATATGAATCTAGCAGGCCGCATGCACCACCCCAGGCTGGAAAGGAAGGGGGAACCCACCCCTCGGTGGATTTTGTTGTTTGTCCATCTGGGGCTGGACACACCAAGAGTTCACCTGCCAGCCTGTCTGAAAAGACCTCCACATGGAGCCCTCTCTTTGGCTTCAGGCCTTGGTGGTTAGCCTGCAGCTCCAATGTTCCTGCAGGACAAGAATGGCATCCCTTGGGGGAGCCTTGTAGCAGAGCACAGTCACTCAAATTTCCCTGCCAAAGCTCTGTCTCTCTTTTGTCTGCCCTGCAGCTGTATGTGTCGTCTGACCTGGGGAAGAAGTGGACACTTCTGCAGGAACAGGTGACCAAGGACCACGTGTTCTGGTGAGAGCCCTGTCCCCAGGAGCCTTTATCATAGGCCTTGCCCTTTCTTCACCTCAGGGGGTCTCTGGGTTCCTTTGTGGTTTCCTGGAAGTGTCCAGGGCTCTGCATCCCTCAGGCCTTGTTCCTTAGTGACCAAGCAGTGTGGCTTTGTGGCATTCAAGTCCTTCCTTGTCCTCCATATCTATCTACACAGATACACTGGCACAGTATAGCACAGGGTGGCTCAATGCTCCTGGCTGCTCTTCTCTCAACTTCCTGCCAACTCAGCCTCTACCTGCCCTGTGTGCAACCTCCCTTGCTCCATGGCCACTCAGGCACTGCCTACTTAGGCCCACTTTCCTGCCCCACCAGTACCCTGGGTCTCACTCCTCTGGCCCACAATATCCCAATGTTAAGACCTGCTAGGAAACAGATCCATTGTGCCCAGTAGCTTCTGAGGGCTGAAGCACAGGAGAGGGTGAATGAAGGTAGAATGGGCCTCAGGTCTCAAGACAAAGGCCGGAGAAGGGGGGTGTGCTGGCTCTCCATCTGCATGATTTTCTGGATGCTCCTCAGGGAGCTGGGCAGCATTCTAGCCCCACCAACTGAGGCAGACAGCTCTGAGGCTCAGGGACAGGCATCTGCCTAGAGTCCCAGGCAGTAAAAGGGAGCAGGAACCAAGACAGCTGGCTCTAAGCCTACACCATACCCACTGTGACCATGACTCCTTTTCTAGACATGTGCCTACTGCACAGACTTTCTCTTGCATGCACACACATACATGTAATTTTATGTCCTTTTTTGTCTTAGTGCAAATGGACATAAAACTTGGTACTTGCTTCCCAGACAGACCACAGTCCTGTCTCTAATGTATTGCAGGGTAAAAACAAGCCCTTCCCACCCCATCCTCCTGTAGCTGCTTGCTGTCCCTGCAAACATTTAGTTCCCATGATGGTTCTGAACATTGGCTCCTGACATGGGTGCCCTCCTCTCCTGGGAGGAAGTGAGGATTGTCACTCTGTAGCAAATCCCTGGAGTACCTTCTCTGTAGCCAGAGTGCTGTCAGTTACAGGCCCAACACTGGTGTCCTCTAGCAGGAACTGCCCTTTGGGTCACTCCTGACAAGTAAGAACTAAGATCAGGAAGTGGGATTTCTGAGTTCCATGGATATGAAGACCTCATTGAGACTAGCATTGCCACCAAGCCAGGCTAAGGGGTGCCCCAGCCTGGCTCATGGAGGCTCTCTTGCTAGAGGGAAGCCAACACTGAGATGTGGAGATGAAAGGGCTAACATTGAAGCTGCCATTATCTTGGACAAATCAGACTGGCTCTGCCCACAAGCTCCTCCTGTGGCTCAGGGCCGTGCCTGTTATGTGGGAGAATCATAGGACTCTTGGCAGTGCCGCTGTTTAGATCCCTTCTGGAATATGGTGACAGACAAGGGACAGCCCCTGTTGTGAGCAGTAGATAATGCTGTTTTGACAGCTTTGTCCTTGGATCTGCAGCAGAAAGCACCAGAACCTCTGCTCTATCTCAGGCCTGACTCATTAGCAGTGTTGAAGCTACATAACACACTGGCTCATTAAGGAGATCCTGAGGGGTGCGCAGCGAGGCGTCTGTTCTGGGATTGTCACCTCCCCTCGGCGGTCAGCAGTCTTGGAGTAAAAACCACAAAAGCAGACGCTGGCTTTGTTATGAGTGAGCAAATGAATGAGTAAATGAATAGGTGAATGAGTGCAAATGAATGGCTGAGTAAGTGAGCGAGTGAGCATTTAATAGTTTACCAGAGCGCCTAGAACCACCCCTGCTCCCAGGACCCACCAGTGTATGTAGCTATTACCTGGATCTCTATGGCCTCTGCACCAGGAAGGGAGCTTCCTGCCCATGTACATATGTTCTCTCTCTCTCTCTCCTTTCTCTTTCTCTCAGTCTGTCTCTCACTCTCTCATTCTCCCTTCCTCTTCCTCCTTTCTTACCTCTTTTCTGTCTCTCCTATATAAGTGAGCCCGTTTGGGAGTTTGGAAGAGGAGCTGTGCTAGCTGGGATATGTCCCAGCCTGAGCTTCCTGACCCCTTAGCCCTCAGCCCATGTCTTATCCCTCTCTGGCCCCAAGGCCTGGGATGGTGCTGACAGAATAGGTCCCACTGGCTCCTGGGGATGCCGCAGTACTTTTCTAGATGTCCTGTGGCTGCCTTCGGGAGGCAGAGAGTATGGCTCTGAGGGGAGCGTGACTTCTTGCGTCAGGCAGATCTGGTGGGAGCCTGAGGTCACCCTGGTCAGCACCTGAGGTCTTGGGCAAGCCCACAATCCCTGGCCTGTGAAATAGGGAAGTCTGGTGCAGGTTGGGGAGAGTGATATGGAGGAACACTGCCCTCACAGATCCTCTGCCAACACAGGCAGCTTGGGGCGAACTTGGAAGGGGGTTTTCCTTGTGTCCCCTGTAGTGGGCAGCTTGACCAGTCAGCCACCAGAGTAGCTGAGAGGACAGCCACTCAGATCCAGATCCTGGTTGGAATCCCAGTGAACCTCTTAGGGCTATGTGACCATGGAATATCCCTAGTCACTTCTGAGCTTCCCTCCGTGCAGACCAGCGGTCCCAGCCTGTGTTTCAGCCGGGATGGGAGACCCTACGGAAGACCCTAGTGACTCGTACACTGTCCTGTGAACAAACAGGTGCCAGTATCATCAAGCGTGGTCCAGATCTATCCAGCTTCCCCCAGGCTTCTGTTGGAGCTTGTAGGTTTAGTGGGGAGTGCTGTGTCTTCTGGACTCACAGAAAGAGAAGCCTTGGAGGCAGAGAGGCCGTGTGGTTAGTGGAAGCCCAGGGGAAAGGTTTCACTAACCCTTTGCTGATACCACCCTTGACCAATTCTCTTCCAGGGCTGTGTCTGGGGTGGATGCTGATCCCAACCTGGTCCACATGGAAGCACAGGACCTCAGTGGAGGTAAGTGAGAGCTGTGCAGTCCCGGGTATCCCCGAGGCTCCTTGTCCAGTGACGGACGCTGCTCAGCCTGGCCCTTGTTCATTGGTGCATCCTCAGCGGCCAGCCCTGTGCACCGACCTCACTGTGTTCTGATGAGTCATAATTTGAAGCTCGCTTGTTTCCCGCTGGGGGTGAACTGAAGTGGAGGAGCCCTGCTCTGTGGAAAGTCTATTAAAAGGGCAATTTGTTCCAGCTCCTGAGCATTGAGTGTTTCCTACCGCATGGCCCCACCCAGCCTGCTGTGAGGGCTGAGATTTCTCTGGGTCTCTGGGGTTTCCCTTCCACAGGCAGGGCCAGGTCACCCCAGCCACTAACTTCCTATTGCTTATAGCACAGGGCCTTCACACTGAACAAGTCCACACACTTATATATGCATGTTAGTCTCTTGTGTTGTGTTGGCAGAGGTTGATGCCCTGGCAGTCCTATGCAGTCTACAGGCACCAGCCAGGTGGCGCACTGGGGCTCCTGGGCAGGAAGGGGAAAAGGAAGTGGGTTGATGCCTGTGGCCAACAGTGGATTCACACAGGTTAGTTCTCTGGGCAGTATACTGCTGCCAGGTGATGGATGACAAAGGACATTTCCAAGTTCTCGGCCAGGACTCCGTGCCTCAAAGGGTGGAACCAAATGGTACCACAGCTGCTGTTTTGGTAGGCAATGAACAAAGCTCAGAGAGAAGGGCCATTGGTTTGCCAAGTCTTAGGACACACACCCCATGCAGGGATGTACAAAGGTGACTCCCAGAAGGGTCCATGTGACAGTAGGCTGTCTGAGAATCAGGATGTGTCATGCGCCAGAGGAAAGATAGACTGAGTCCTGGGGCAGAGCTGTTGAGGTTCTTCATATAGCCTCCATCTTGGAGGAAGCAGACCCTATGTGCAGCAGCCTGAACTCTGTGTCAAGAACCCTCAGACCAACTTGGCTCATGAGTGAGGACCCTCCCTAGCTTCTGAAGACCTAATTTCTACACTCACTACCCCTCAGCCTGGAGCCCTGCAGAAACAGTCTTCAGAGCCTGACAGCAGACCATGCAAAATCCTGAGGTCTCGTCTCCTAACCTGTTGTACCCATTATCCTCCAGAGGAACCAGCTCCAAGATCACCACATCCCGTTATCTAGCTGGGACTGCCTGTCTCCATTTATCCATCACAGGCTTCTTTTTCCCCTATCACCCCAGGCCACCTTTCCATCTGCTCTGCCAGCCACTCCTTAGGATGCTCCAGCACCCACCTTTCCTGTGCATCCCCTGGTCCGACAGCTTCTTGAGGCTGAGTGCTGACTGGTTGTCAGCCTCCTCAGAAGAACTGTTAAATGAAGTCAGGTACCCTGAGTGCCTTGTGTAGGTGTCCTGCCTGTGTGATGGACAGAATCATGCTCACTGCCCCCACTCTACTGTAGTGACCTCATCTGTCAGTCTGCCTCTCTCCAGAGCAGCAGTTCTCACTGCTCCCAAGAGCCAGTCCTCCATGACAGCAACTCATTGCGCAGGACCTTCCTCAGGCAGTTTCCACGTGAATAGTTCATGAATGACAGTGAGAGTAAGAGAATGAATGAATGAATGAATGAATGAATGAATGAATGAATGAGCAGGTGAATGAATGAGTGAAACAATGAGTGAGTGATTGACCAAATGAAGAATTAGTGAATGAGTGAGTATAGCAATGAGTGGGTGGATGAGTGAATGAATGAATGAGTGAGCGAGTTAGTCGATGAGTGATAAAATAACAGCCAGCAAGTGAATGATCCAGGACTTGAGTGAGTGGAATGTCCACAGTATGTCTGTTTCCACTGGCCCTGGAAACTCCTCTCAGCTCAGAGACAGCAACTTCCTGGCAGAACCTAAGTTCAGTTTGCTGTGCTGGAGTTTGTGAAGAAAGATGGGAACTTTGGCTTAGAGTTGGGAAGAAAGAGTGCCTAGAGCCACCCACTCTTGTCCAGGAAGGCGCCCAGGTCTGTGAGAGGGTAGGGCTTGGACTGGGTGGGACCTCGTGAGGTTCCTGGTATGTCTGATTGTCCCTTTCTTTGGATAATGGCTCTCCAACATGCCAGCAATTTCTCCCAGAGAGTTAAAGATGTCCTGAGTGGTCCCTGGCCCCACTGGGCTGGCATCATGGCAGGCAAGCCCTTTTGAAAAGCAAGGCTCTAGACCAAGCCAAGGTGCTGGCTGTATTGAGCGGTGGGAGCCGAGCAAGCCTCTCCGCTTCTGCATCTCTGCCACCCTCAGTGGGGTCTGCATGTCCTGGCTGCTTTTGTCCTCTGCAGACTATCGGTACTTCACCTGCCTGACCCACAACTGCTCAGCTCAGTCCCACGCGGCACCCTTCGCTGGCCCCATCGACCGTGGCTCCCTGACCGTGCAGGATGAATACATTTTTCTGAAGGTGAGTGCTCCAGGTGCTGGGAGGTGACAGCGTGTGAGCCTTTGCCATCAGAAGAGGCAGTAAAACAACACTTCACTTCTAAATGCCACATAGCAGGGCTCGGTGTCTCTACATCTCTATGGTGGCTTGGAGCATGTTCAGAGGCCTCCAGGCAGAACCTTGGCTCAAGATTGTTCCTGACTTTCTCTGCCCACCAGCCCCTCCCCACCATCTGGGGCCCACAAAATCCAAGTATATCTATTTCTCATGGTTCCTTTCATGCTTTGGATCTTATCATGGGTGTTCTGGTTAATGAACCCCCGTAACCAGGACACTGCTGCGGTACCCCAGTATAGATCTCGGGCCACTTGTGAAAAGCTAGTGAACCCTGGCTGGGAAGCTTCTTGACCACTTCTAGATGGGAAGCTGACCCCTGTTAGAGCATCTTGCCCTCTGTACGGCACAGAGTACCTTGTCTTATTTATTTCCTTATGCTGGGATGAAGTACCTGACAAAAGCCCCCCAAGGATGAAGGGTTTCTTCCACTTTACAATTCCAGGAATACAATTCGTACGTCAGGGAAGGCACGGCAACAGGAGTGAGGCAGCTGTTCAGTCATGCGCAGCCAGAGAGCAGAGTGTGAATTCCGCTCACTTTCCCCTCTTTATTCAGTCCTCGATTCCAGCTCACGGAATGGCGCTGCCTACATTTAGGGTGGCTTTCCCACCTCAGTGAACCGGGATAACCTTTCACAGACAAGTCCACAGACTGGTTTCCATGATGATTCTAGATCCCATAAAGTTGGTAACCGTCTATCACTTTCTCCAAGCTCATCTAGAGGCAGGCCGTTTCCTTGGGTCCCACTGCTGGTCCCTGCTCTGCCATCTGGAACCTTGTGAGACAAGCTCAAAGCCTCCTGAAAAAAAAAAAAAAAAACCTCCAGAGAATAGCACAGTAGCCCAGTGTCCTTCCCATAGTTCTTCCCTGCCCAGTCTCCATGACACTGCTCCCTCTGCATGAGCCATCACACTAGTGCTGGCCCTTCTCCCAGCCTGGCAGGAAACCCTGAGCCCCAACTGACCCTGTAGTGTGTCACCAGTGCCCGGGCCTACCAAATCTCCCCTGCTTTTCATTGTATCTATGAGCTCCTGTGTCTGTCTTTTTTTGGTAGCTGCTGGTTTCTGTTGCCGGAGAGAATACCAAGCCCCAGAAACACACAGTAGTAGCCTTGCCAAGATCACAACCAGGAAATTGCATTCCACCCTTCCATCTGGGTGTTCTGTGAGGGTGGAGGTAGTCAGGTGGGGTGCCCAGCTGCTGCTTCTTGCCTGGCTCACGTCAGACCAGTTGACACTATCACTTTCCAACTGGGATGGCTGGCATCTGGCATGTCCCTTGTCCCATGGCCATATCTTTGGTCTGCCCTGGTAGAATAGTGCTTACTCAGGAAGAGGGGTCGACAGAAGACTCCAGAAACTCTCTGTCAAGCCATCCTTGGGGCACACCCAGAGCCTCATTAGTCTGGGGACAGTAAATGTAAGGTTACCCCATAAGAAATAGCTGGCTTGCTACGCATGCCTGTTCCACATTCAGGCTGGATCTTCCCTGCTCCGTTAATCTTTTCTGGAGATGCTCTCATAGGCTCACCACAGTGAGGTGGGACTCACTGTCTCCTAGGTGACTCAATCCAGCGCCTATCCTTTGGTGACTCTGAGTCCAGCACCGTCCGTTAGGTGACTCAGTCCAGCACTGTCCCCTAGGTGACTCTGGGTACAGCAAAGCTGCAGTCAAGAGAAACCACCATCACTGTAAGCAAAGGGCATGGCCACCGGCTGAGCAGTCTGCTTTCAAACGGAGAGTGGGGTTTTACTGAAGATTCTGTCACTTGATGCTGTGCTTCTCCCCTAGGTAACATCAACAAACCGAACCAAATACTATGTCTCCTATCGCCGCAGTGACTTTGTCCTAATGAAGCTGCCCAAATATGCCCTGCCCAAGGTGAGGTGGCCCGTCCATACCCTGTGCCAGATGCGGGCTGTGGGGGTTTGGGGTTCCAAGGTCAAGTGGGATAGGAAAGAATGGATGTGGCCACCCTTCCCCTGCCTGCCCAGCCACTGCTCCAGCCAACCAGGCCTCAGATTGTGGCATCTCTGTCCTCTGGACACATAAAATCTGGACAGGAAGCTTGGGAATAAAGCATCTATTGGGAAGAGCATGAAAAAGCAGTTAGAGAAGAGAGCAGAGCATGTGCGAAGGACCTAGGGCTCCTCTCACAGGCAGGAGCGATAAGTAACTGTCTCTGGGAGAGTCCTAATCACACTTGATAAGAAATGTTAATGAACTAGTATTTTCCTTCTGCAAACCTCTCCAGGCCATGTGCGCCAACATAGATACACAATCAAGGTTTTGTGCATCTATTTACAACAGAGTTAGGGAACGGTTTTGCTTGCTTCTCGAAAAGTGAAAGGAGTGAGGAACGTAAGTGGAATTTTATGAGGGTGGAAAGTATTTGTCACAGTAGTCAGCAAGGCTTTTGTGTGACCCTTCTCAGTACTGGCCCACAGGAGGGGACATGAGCAGCCTTCTGAGAAAGGAACCAATCGGAACCCTCACAACAGCAGGCTAACAGCGCTCAAGAAGCATTCTAGAGACCTTCCACATCTCTGATGTGGCAGTTTCCCTTCTTAGAATTTATGGGAAGGAAATAAGCAGAGAGGCAGGGAGGGACCCGAGCCTGGAAACATCTCCCCCGTCCTCCAGAGCAGGGACACGGCTCAGTGAAATATGGCTGGGCCACAAATGGGTATCATGCAGTCATTAAAAGTAGTGTTTATAAATAACGTCCGTGGCAGAGGAAGAGACACCCGCGTGGTGTGCAGAGCAAGCTATAAACCAGACTCGGAGAGTATGTGAATCATGCTTAGGAGAGAGCCTGAACATAAACATGTTGAAGTGTTAATTCCAGGTCTCTCCAGAGGGGCACTGTGGATGGGCCCAAGCCGCTTCATAGCTTATAGGAAACGCTTATCCAGGGCATCTAACCAGCTTCTGTAAGTGGCGTTCGATCAGGACTGTCACCTGAATTACTGCACCCCGCCACCATGCAGGCTTCCCCATAAGCTTGACCCTGCCAAGCCTTCTTGCGGGAACGATCCTCACTTTCCACCAAGTTCTGGTGGATCTGCTAGCGGATGGGTGTTGCCTCCCTGGTGGACTGCAAACTGGCCACCACCCAAAAGCAGCACACCCTGCCTCCTGCCCACTGCCGTCCCATCTCGCATTTGGGAGTGAGACCCGCATACTTCTTCCTGAGTCATAACCCCTGTTTGTTCATCATCTCTGCATGTCATGTTTACGTCTGAGACGTGGGACCCAGAGTCTTTGCCTGTGGAGTTCTTCAGTGGGGATAGATGATAGTGCTTCATATACTGAACCCCTTTTCTATAAAATTCCACCTCCGAATTTTTTAAGGGTCTGCCATGTAGCCCAGGCTGGCCTCAAACTCATGGTTCTCCTACATCAACCTCTTGGGGGTTGGGTACCATGCCCAGCTCAGAAATGCCCTTTTGGATACATGGCTGAGGGTACAGACTGGCAGTGAGAGGAAGAACCAAGTACCATCACTCAGGATGGTCCAGTGGCCCCCTCATCAAAGGGACACAAATAAGAACCACTTCCTTAAAGTGAACATATCCCAAAGGGCATGAGGCACGAAGGGGAAGGGGGTGTCTTCATGTTAGGGCTCCCTACATCCTGCCTTCATCTTCCGCTCCTGTAGCCTGGAAACCCTTAGGCAAAGGCTTGGAGGATACAGGGTGAAGTCTGTTCAGCTGTGAGGTGGGGATGTCCCGATGCCTAGGCACAGTGTCCCCAGTCACAGCCTCCCTGACTAAAGCCTTTCTGCTAGTCTGCACAGGCCTGGACAAAGGGCAAACATGGAGCTGAGGTCAGCCCAGCTTTGCTTTTCACATGCTGGGGCTCTTTTTCTGAGTTGTTCAGTTGTTTACAGATTCTGGAGGCCTGTGCTGATTCCCTCAGAGCTACCTGACCCACTAGGGGGAACTGAGGCTTGGAGCCATCACCTGGGCTGCTTGCTGTTCTCCCAGCACTTTTTGTCCCATGGGGCTGAGGGCTGGGTGAGACAAATGGAGTTTGTGTGTAGGGTGCTGTCTGACACCTAAATCAAGTTCTTTGTTTCTGAAGCTCAGGGCAGAGGTAGGGCTGGCAGCAGATCCCACATTTCAAGCAGCAGGCAAGCATTTCATGAATAGGTGCTGGACAAATAAAGGGATGCTTCACTCCCCGGGGGAGGGGGTAGCCCAGCCTTGTACCTACCACTCATTCTGACCACATGGTGTTCTCAGGGGAGCCCTTCCTCGTTGTACGGAGATGGACAATGTCCAGTGGTGATAGGGAAGAGGAGGCATCCCCAGGCTACCCTCCAACCTCGTGTTGAGGGTCCAACCACCATTTCAGAGGCGTGACATGAATCAATGGAGGTGAAGCCACTTGCCCAAGACCACAGGGCTAAGCATGGCTCACCGGGATGCCTAGCTTGATCAGCCTGCCTCCAGGGCGGTGGGGAGTGGGGGCTGAGCCCCAGGCTGCCGTGTCTGACAGCTCCTCGGTCCCCAGGACCTGCAGATCATCAGCACGGATGAGCAGCAGGTGTTCGTGGCCGTACAGGAGTGGAACCAGGTGGACACCTACAACCTGTACCAGTCGGACCTGCGCGGAGTGCGCTACTCACTGGTGCTGGAGAACGTGCGCAGCTCGAGGCAGGCGGAGGAGAACGTGGTCATCGACATCCTGGAGGTAGGCGCCAGGCAGGGCAGGAATGGCTGCTCATGCTCCGCCTCTCCCTTTCTTCCATCTTCCTCGCCAGGGGCTACAGATACCGGCAAAGCAGCAGATGTTTCGGGCTTTAGGATGTGAAGCCGAAGCATAGGGGGTTAAAGACAGAGAGGGAAGCTGGTTTACTAATGAGGTGGTTGAGCCAGTGTTTGCTAATGAGAAGGAGATTCCTGGTGGGCAACAGCTCAAAGACTCTGGACCAGTCTTTTAGCATGCAAGGCTTTCGCTGTGCAAAGGAGCCACGGCCAGGTGTGCTTCGAGCAGCTATCCGGAGACTGGGAGAGGCTCTCTACTCTGTTCCTCTCCTGCCTTGTGACTCCTCTTTCCACTCCCTGTCCCGAGAGCTGGAGTCTGTCACATCTATACTGTCTCTCCTACCAGTCCTCACCCCTCCACATAAATTGTCCAGCCTGACCTGCTAGGACGTGGCCCTCCCTTTCCCTGCCTGAGATGACAGCCCCTGCCTCACCCCTGCTGGGGTCCTGGCCTTACCTGGCCCCACACAAACTTCCAGGACTCCCTCTCATGCCAAGTCACCGAGCCAAGCTTCTGGCATCCATACCAATGCTCTCCATTGGTGAGAGTGGCTCCCTGGTCCTCAGGTCCAATCCCTAAGAAGTCCATTAGGCACATGACATGGACAGGCCACTCACAATCCTCTCTTTTCTCTTGTGGGCACTGTGGCTGGAGGTGGCAGTATTACTAAGCTCATGTGCAGGTCAGAAAACTAAGGCTCAGCAGATCCTCTTCCACCCCCGCCCCCACCATTCCTTTGAGACAGACCAGATCTGTGGAGGAATAGCAGAGTTAGTCACAGTGTCCACCAAGATCTTCCCTCACACCCTGCCCCAGGAGCCCTGCACTCCCAGGCCAGTGGGGACAGCCATAGGAGATCCACTGGTTCTTCTGTTGGATGGTGAGTCTGGCTCAGAGGGTAGCCCTTGGCAGACAATGGGCTTCGTCCCTGTGAGTGGGAGGGGACCTCCCAGGTGGAGGCAGCCTCAATGTGTCTCCAGCTGTCAGCAGCAGTGTGGAGCCATTATCCCCAGCAAAATGATGAATGCAATCATTTGTTTGTGAGGAAAGCCCATTTGTCAGTGCTGCCTCCCAGCCAGGGCTGCGGAGGGACAGTGCCATTCTGCAGCCCTCCCCTAGTCCTCAGAGGTTGTTTCTGCAACCTTTGAGCACTGGAGCCCTCAGAGACAAGGCCGTTGCCCCAGGCCGGGGTGAGCAGCGATAGATGGGAAGGTGCCATGGACAGTTCTGACATGGAGAGGTGCTGTCTACCCTCTCCACGACCATCTGTCCCACACACACCGCCTGCCACACTTGGGGTTCCACCCTCGCTCACTGGTAAAGATTGCCACACATGCTGGGCACCTCCAGCCCACCATGAAGGAGGTGACTTCCAGCAGTGCCCTTAAACCCACGCTCTCACTGGAACACAGTGAAATGCCTTTTGACAAATCGACGTAGGAGTCAGGGTGGGCCTCTTGAAGGAGGGGTGCAGAACTGAGATGAAGCAGGAGCAGGAGCCAGCTATGTGAGGAAGCAGTGAGCTGAGCCACCACAGAGACTTGTCTCTAGAGTTCTCAGTAAAAGACACAGTCGTCTAAGACCCGGTCTTTTGAGGAGTTTTGTATAGACCATACTGTATAGAAGGAGAAGTAGACATGCCTCTGCTGTGGGGCTTGGATGAAAGGGAGTATTCCTGTACCTGTCACACCACTCTGAAGTGCTCAGCGAGTGACTCCAAGTCTTTGTCAATAAGGAGCTTGGGAATAGGGTGTTCCTACAAGGGCGCCACTGGCTTTAATGTGGTGGAATGCCTGGCTCTTGAGCTTTCTTATGAATCGGCTCTGTAGCCACCCTTGGATGTTGTAGCCTCACCCGGGAGCCTTGTAAGACTCCTTGAGAAGGAGAGAGATGAAGACAGAGTGGAGCCCTGTCAGTGCATGCTAGAATAAACAGGGACTTTCCCACTGTGGTCAGTTGGCTTGGGGGGGGGGACAACAGTGAACTGTGGGGGCCCAAAGAAAGCCAGAAGTATTTGCTGTGGCACAGGACCCACCCTGAAGATCAATAGTCACAGCATGTGAGGGGATCCTGGGCTCCAGAGTGGGGGTGAGGAAGGGAGGAATCTTCTCATAAGGTACTGGTCAGGGGACCAGGTCCCTCCCTGGCATCTGACGGTCAGAGGTCTTGGGTAAACAGTTCAGCATCCAGCTCACCCAGACCTGGAGTAGACAGACCTTTTCCCATCTAAGCCTGGGACCAGTCTCCATATGTCAGGGTACAATCAGGGTGCAGCATTCTCAGTAGGGAGCAATGCCTGGCCACTGTCACTCTGGGTGATCTGTGGGGACCTTGTGGTCCTTCTTGTGACTCTTCAGGTCAGAGGAGTGAAGGGAGTCTTTTTAGCAAACCAGAAAGTGGATGGCAAGGTGACAACGCTCATAACCTACAACAAGGGCCGAGACTGGGACTACCTGAGGCCACCCAGCACCGACATGAATGGGAAGCCCACCAACTGCCAGCCGGTAGGTACTCTGCCTTGTCACATGCCCCCAAGAGACTGGCATAGGCGCCATTGCCAGGATACACCTGAGGCACATAAGCCACCAGTTTCTGCTAGGCATAAAGATGCACACAAAGCGAAACATTGGCATCATTCTTGGCATTGAAATTACAGTGTGAGAAACTGCCCCCAGTGGAGTCTCTCACTCATTCTTAGCTCCACAGCCCTTGTCCAGATGTCCTCAAGCCAGGGAGTCACTAACTTAGGTTGGCATCTGCTGTCCACACCTGCGTTCTTCACCAGGCTAGTGCTGGTGTGACGTTGTGGTGCTAGCCGAGGTTCAAGGGACAGGAGGAGCAGTGTCTTCCAAGCCTGCTTCTACACATTGCTGAACGTTATTGAGGGCTGTTGTGTGATGGCGGGAGTGTATAGAGTAACAGGTGCCATTAAAGACACCCTTTTCCAGAGTCAGCAGGTGGTCATGAGTATGAGCTGCCCAAAGGAGCAGCCTTTGCCTGGGCAGGGATGGATACTCTCTGTCCTGAGCTCTCTGTTCCCCTCCACTCTCAGGCCTCCTCTTGGAACCCACTACAGATGTAAAAGGCCCATAATCTCTGCCTACCTGCATGAGGAATGAATCACCTGCCATTTACAAAAACCCTCAAGGGTCCAGAGCTGCTATGAAAGGCTCATTTTTGTATTATCTTTGGGGAAGTTAAGCCACATTAATCTGCCAAAGCAACTTTCAGCTAAAAGAGGGTTCTCTGCAATTACGAAGCTCAGTGAAGAGGCAGCCTCGGTGAGATTTGTGTCCAGGGGACCCAAAGATGATGGGATGAGGAGAAAGTGGCCAAGTGGTCCAGGCAGGCAGAGAGTGCACTTGAGACCAGTGCAAAATGCCTGGAAACCAGTGGGCCATAGGTACATCAAATGACAGTCGGAAGCCCTGGCTCCCACCTGAGTGCCTGTGGCCTCCATCCAGCTTGGAACAACATAGACTGACAGGTGACCAAGCCTAGACCCCCATGCCTGACAGTGTCATCCTCTCAGCCACTGTGGGCTCAGGGTTCAGACGGCAGTGGCAAAGTTCCTGAGAATTCAGGGATGTAAAGTGTGCCTGGAGTCGTGCCACCCAGGAAGAGCTGGAGTCTTTGTCATGGTCTCAGTGCATGTGTTGACATTGTCCCTGAGACAGGGACAGGCTGGTGGGACTTCTCTGCTAACTTTCTTCTCTTACTTTTGGTAACACATTGACTCCTAGTTCCCTGACTGGCTTGGCTGGGGATGTCTCCTTCCAGTCATGGGGAAATAGATACACTTATATAGTGGAACAGTTGATTAGATCTCTTAGTCTGTGTGTGTGTGTGTGTGTGTGTGCATGCATGTGCGTGTGATAGCATATGAGTGCACATTTATATGAGTACATGCCAAAGCCAGAGGTTAATGGAATACCTCCCTCAATTGTTCTCAGCCTTCTTTTTTGAGACAGGGTCCCTTCCCTAAACATGGAAGTTAGACTGGCTGGCCAGAAAAGCCCTGGAATCCCCCTGTCTCCACTCCCAACCCCTTGGTCTAGGGCTTCAGATACATAGAACCATGCCTAGCCCTGCTGGACATGCCAGTGGTCAAATTCAGTTCTTCATGCTTCCCACCCTCTAGTCATTCCCTCAAGTCACCCTTACCATTCCCTCAAGTTACCCTTTCACTGACAAAGGCCATGGGGCAGCTCTGGCCACAGACCTGGTTTTCCTGGGACACTCCCACATGCTGACAATGCTTTCCTCCCCAGCCGGACTGCCACCTGCACCTACATCTGCGCTGGGCAGACAACCCCTATGTGTCAGGCACAGTACATACCAAGGACACTGCCCCTGGCCTCATCATGGGTGCAGGTGAGTGGCTACAGTAGCCTTTACAACCTGAGGGAAGCTCTTGTATCATGGATGGGAACTGGAGGCCATGAGCCTAGGGGACTATGCTGTGTCCGTTAGAGGTAGTGTCATCTCCTCTGAGGAGACTTGACACCCCTGGAAATCCCAAGGATGAATGTGGGATTGGTAGAGGGAGGGTTAGATAGGAGGATGGATAAGTTTATGGCTGGATGGGCAAATGGATGGGTAGGCACATAAATGCGAAGATAAATGAGTGGGTGGGTGGATTGAGAGGGGCTAGGGTGGGTGGATACATAAGTGGATGGGTGACTGAATGGATGAATGGGAAGTGAGTGGGTGATGGGTAAATGGTGGATGGGTAGATTGATAAATGGATGGATGGATTTGTAGGTAGATGGGAGTTGGATGGATAGGTAGGAAGAGAGGTAGGCAGGCAGGTGGATGACAGTCTATCCAGCTGGCTTATCAAGAATTTCCTTGATACAGGCCATGGTGGGATTCTGGGGAAACAAGGTCCAGTTGGTGAAGCCATATGTGTCCCGTGCTGTGAGCCTACAGAGCTGTGCTCCTCACTGGAAGCCCCATCCCTTTTGCAGCAGCCCACATGGGGTAGCTGCTCTGGGCTGGGCTGGCCTGCATCTTATGGGATACTGTCTACCTGGAGATGACCCAGGCCAGGGCTCACATAGCAACTGTGCCCTCCACAGGAACAGAATGTGCACCTGCTGTGTGCTTGCCTTTTGCCCAGACTCACTCTGCCCCTGCCCGCCCCTGCACGTGGACTCCAGGGCACTGCCCCCAAACACACACCCAGCTCTCATCTCTCAGGGACCACAAGCCCATGCTGCCCCAGCTGGCTCATGTCCTTCGGCCTGACCCTGACCATCATCACACATTTTATCCTCAAGTATCACCCGTGGGCACTTGGTAACCCTTGAGCCTGTCCACCTTGAAGCTAAGGCTGGAGCCTTGCACTGGGCTCAGTTGGGTTGGGCTCTTTCTGCCCAGAGGGGACCAGCTCAAGCCCTGCAGTCACACCAGGGACACTGTCTGAAAAGGAAGGCAGACAGGGACTTGCTTCAGGTGACTATGGTAGAAATATAAGCCTTGGCATAGTTTCCTTTTCTGGAGACTTTCAGACCTCAGTCAGGGGATGTGCCCAGTCTTAGAACAACATGGTCTTTTCTATTGGGTCAGGTAACCTGGGCTTGCAGCTGGTGGAGTACAAAGAGGAAATGTACATCACGTCGGACTGTGGGCACACCTGGCGGCAGGTAAGGTGACGAAGGTACCTAGTGTTCTTCAGCCGCCCCCGCCCCCACAACTCTATCTGTTCTGTACCCCTTCTTTTGCTCTCTAAACTCCTGAGCCAGGTGTCCTTCCTCAGAATCTCAGCCTCATCACTTCAGGAGCAGCGTGAGGCCTCTGCTGAGGGCTAGCATTCGTCCAAGGGGTGGGGCCAGTCGGTGGGGTACCATCTGCCAATGCTTTGTGGCTTCTGCTGGACATATGGACCCTAGAAACAGTTCACAGCCAGGTGTGTCCCTGCGGACGCCTGAGAAAGGGGACTGAGGACCACGTGGTCACTTCCTACTTGGCTTTGCACGTCTTCAGAGGTAGAGGTACAGACAGTGGACATATAAATGAAAGAAAAGGATGTGAGGGGGTCAGGTTTAGGATCCTGGGGACATCCCGAGGGTTGCCGTAGCGAAGGGGTGTGGCCCAAGATGACAAAGGAAGGAAAGGAAATGAGGAAACTGCCTGTGGGAGCCATCCTCTCAATGGCAGGACCCGGGGCAGCCCCCACTCACAGCTACACATGGACGTCAGACAGACTGGTTAGAGGGATGCTGGCTGCTATCTGCCTGTAGCACAGGAACAGTGGAGGATACCAACAAGTGGGCAGGCAGGCCCCACAGAACCCATGACAGTTAGAAGCTGCAGGTTTCCATCCCATGCATCTCTCAGGAGAGCCCTGACCTATGAAGGGGACACTGGTTGCCCCTCTGGGGTGGGCAGGATTCTAGCTGTGTCAGTCTGCCAACTTCACAGAGAGGTGATCTGGCTGTAAGCACCAGTGCCCAACTGCGTGCATAGCGCCCAGGTCATCTTCGCCATGCCTGGACATGCAGCCACACCCCCTGAGAGGCACCGAACACTCCTCCCTGCGTCAAGGCGGGAGGCCGCTGCTCTTTCAGCAAGATGCAACAAGTGAGGCGTCTGCAGAGGGCAGGAGAGCTTTATTGCATTTCAATATTTCTATTTTACTGAAGCCACTCCGAGGTTCTTAAAGGTCGCCACCTGTCCACCTTCATTTTTGGCAGCACTGAAGGGCTTCCTTACTTTATAGACATTTGCTTAGCTTTAACTCCGAGTCCTCGGGATCAGTGTTACAGGGCAAGGTTCCCTGCCCGAGGACAGCAGGGTTCACAGGTGAGACCCCCTGATGGAGCAGCACGCACACGCATGTATATGTCAGGGAGAAACAGGTGCATACAGCAGTTACGGGCAGTTTTAGCGGGAGAGGAAGACTGTGCCACAGGGGCACTGAGTTATCAACAGCTCCAGACCAGTGGAGCATTTGTGGTGTTTCCTCCCTGGCCAGAGAGGCACTGACGGAGAGAGATGGGCCAGAGAGCAGAGAGACACAAGCTTTCCCGTGGAGTGGCACACACTTTAAGCCAGGAGACCCCAGCCAGGCCTGGTGACACTCCCCTGTAACCCCAGCATCTGGAAGGCAGGGAAAGGAGATTCTTGTGCAGGTTAAAGGCCACCCTAGTCTGCAGAGCAGGATCTGTCTCAAAATCTGGATAATAAAAGACCCCAAGCTTCCTGGGGTGACCAAGGATCTCACCAACAGCATTTGAAGACCCTGCTAGGACTCTGAGGGGAACAGAGAAAGGCTGATCCAGGAATAGGTCTGTGTCCCCTCCCAGCCTTGCACCCCAGGGGCTGCTTAAGGTGCGGGGGGCCACAGCATGGATGCTGTCAGAGGCTTCCTTGGCAATTTTCCTGATGTTGTCTCCAACCAGCTTACTGTTGGGCCTGGTCTGCAGGAGTCAGGACCTTTTCCTCTCCAGCCAGGGCTGATGTGGGTGGACCACACCCATCTGGAAGCAGCAATTCAGCCCTTTCTCTTGCCTTACCTAGCTTGGACTATGTCTATTCCTCTAGAATGCTCTACAGTGCTCCTCCCTCCTTCCTTGGCCCAGGTCACCGTGCTATAAATGGAAGCATTCATAGGGGCCAGCCCACTGAGGTTTTGGGTGACAGCTAACATTTTGGTTCCAGGACTCTTCTGTAATCTCCTGAGCCCAGGCACCCATAGCAGGAGGCACAGCAACCACTACCTAGAGGAGTGGGAGGATGTGGCCCAGACAGCATGGCCCTCACTTACAGTTTCTGAAGACGCGCTCTGTACCCCATGTGTGCCAGTGCACTGAAGTACCCTGGAGTGACTCAGGGCCACACTGGGCTCTGCTACCCTTAGCTGTGAGACCTTGGCATAACCTTACTGCTGTAAGCCCAGCTTCCTGTAAGATGGTGCTTTTCTACAGCCTATGGCTGTGACCAACATAGTTGTCCCTTCTACGTGGACCCTATCAAGATACTTTTGCCCCCCCAAACTCTCAGTGGGCATTCATTCATTTATCCTCAGAGTATCCATTCATTAATTCATCCATATGGAAGTCATTCATTCATGTATTCATTGACATGCCAGCGCCCCAGGGTCCCAGCTCAGACCTCCACTGAGATGGTCACAGAGGCCTCCCAGTAGCTCCCTGGCTGGAAGGGATGATGACACATGTAGATCAGTAAGGCTGGGCCTACTGAAAGCCAGAGGTGGCCACATCTACCTGGTGTCAGAGGTAGCCAGGATCCAGGCTCTGTCACTGCACCCCACATAGGCCTGGAGCTCATCCTGAACCTAGCCCTGAACATACTGTGCTTCCCTCATTGCTGGGCTGTTGGCTGACCTGAGTTCCCACAGGCAAGATGGTAAGAGTGCACACTATCGCTTCCTCCATCCCTCAGGGTAGAGAAGCCGCCACTGTGCCCCAAGCCCCACTCATCCTTCCTGTGCTAAGTCAGGGGTATAAACGGGGTGTTAGAGAGCTGGCATCCCTCCCGGCTAGGCTCCGCTGGCCTTGTCAGCGTCTCCCCTGAGAGAGTGTGTCACCCCACAGGTCTTCGAGGAAGAACACCACATACTATACCTGGACCACGGTGGTGTCATTGCCGCCATCAAGGACACCTCCATCCCCCTGAAGATCCTCAAGTGAGATCATGGGCCAGAGGGTGGGCATGTGGGCAGAGGGCACACAGCATACCAGAATAGTCCCCTGGGAACCTAACACTGGGGTGCCCCCAGAGATGGACCATGTTACCCACAAGATTAACAAAGAAAACACAGCCTAATCAGGGTAAGTTGGAGAGTGGTGAGGGCTGAGGAGTCCAGGAAGGCACCCTAAGTATCAGCAAGAACATGTTGGCTGAGGAATGGGGCTAGAGTGTACAGACAAGGAAGCCAGTGAGTGCCCAGGTAAGAGCTGCTTCAACCAAAGCTTCAGATGGCTAAAGGACCCACTGACAAATTGAGGACAGGGTAACATTGGTGTTTAGGAAACAGAGCTAGAAAACTGCCAGGGAGCCAGTGTTATTTTAGTCTGAGAAAGAGCTGCATATCCTGGGAGGTAACGTCACTGTCATATTGGGCATGTCACTGACAGAGGAACCATGAGCTGGGCTCAAGCCTTGCATGCTATTATTACTTGATGTTTCTAAGGCTCAAATGTCCCTGCTATTCACAAGGAGCAGTGCCTGTGTGGAATCCCAGCAATATGTCTAGGGCCCCAGTCTGTCACATTACTGATTAGTCGGGGACGCTACCTGGTGCTGCCAGGTATCTGCTGTGGGCTCACCTGAGAGAGGGAGGTTGTGGTCCAGCTGTGGCCTAGCTGTTGCAATGGTCCCAGAGCTAGCCTCTGTTGGACAGGAGTCAGGCCTGGGGGTAGACAGACATGGGAAGGAGTAAGATCATCCCGCTCTGTGGACACTGGTGCCTTTCACAGGTTCAGCGTGGATGAGGGCCACACTTGGAGTACACACAACTTCACCAGCACCTCAGTGTTCGTGGATGGGCTACTGAGCGAGCCAGGGGACGAGACGCTTGTCATGACGTGAGTGTGTGAAGGGACATGGGTAAAACAGGAAGGGGGGAGGAGGCTGGCTGTGTCTGGTCTCTGAACTCTGAGGTGGGCTCAGATTGAGCCTCTGCTTCCTTCTGCATGCCTGTCCCAGGCTAGTGACACCTCCTCTCACCCTGCCCAGGAGGAGGGGGCACTCCATCCCTACCCAGGGTACTGACTGGCTAGGAGTAGAACAAAGCTTCATGGGCCAGGCCCTTGCCAGTGTATGCTGTTCCTTTCTAGCTGACGGTAGTGAAGACAGTGCTTGGCCATGTGGCACAGCTAAGGTCCTGAGGCCCAACAGGGTTATGCAGTGGGGACCATGTTTGATGCTGGTCCTGTGAGGCAGGTAGACTGGTCCCCTTCTCATAGACTGGTCAGATAAGGTGACCTCACACTCAACCTAAAATGGCTCCTGACATCCTGGCAGGTGTAGCCTTGCTGTCTATGGCGTGGTGTGAAGGGCCAGCGGGGCTCTTAGCGGCTCAACATTCCACCTTTGTCTTCTGTGAGCTCAGTGGATGCTCTTACAGATGTCCGTGTGGAGAAGCCCTGAGAGAACATGACTACCCCCCATTCCTACTTCATACTCACACCTGTTGTAGAATAATGAGTTTCCCCATGTCCAGTGAGGTCATGGCTATAAGGTTGCCAGCCTGTCTCCACAGAGCAGGTAGCACTGAGCACAGCAGAGACATGAGGCCAGGCTACCCGTGTGTGGAGAAGAATTCTGCCCCTTCCCAAAAACTTCTACCCTGTCTAATGGTTAAAGTGCATGTATTGAGCATCTACTGTATGCTGACACTGAGGTCCCAGGAGAGGTAGCTGTAAAAAAATACATGGACTGGCATTAAGGGTCTCTGAGGAGAGACAAAGGAGAGAAACTGCTATTGTGTCCCCCAGCTCCCCACCAGGGTGGATGGGGACTGCACAGGCCATCAGATTGAGTGGCATGTGGCCTTTAGGGTACCTGAAGATGAGCTCCAGCTAGGCTAGAGATAGGGACAGCCTCGTGGGCATGAATGAAAGATAGGGTGGGTGGGCAGGCCTTGCCTTCCCTTAGACATATGAAGTGAGGGGGTCACAAAACCATGCATTCTTCCTGCCTCCTAAGAAGGTGGCCTTGCTCCTCTTCCCTTCAAGAGCCTTGTGTCTGTTTGGGCTCTGCCCATGAGTGGCCTTGCATGTTTGACCATCCTGAAACCCCAGGAAGGGGTCCCTCAGTCTATGTCACTAACGTGCCTAGCTGGGTAGCACCTGATGTGTGGTTGAAGCTCAGTAAACAAGATTTCAGTGAAGCCATGCATACGCGTGACAAGAATACAGCAGCAACCTCCCACATGCCAAGGAGGGCCATTGAGTCCTATGAAGTGTCCACGGAGATCCACCGAGCATCCATGACCCCTGTGGAACCCCACAGAGCATCCCAGTACCCTGTGCAGTGTCCATAGCCCCCTGGAATTCCTGCTGAACGTCGATGACCCCCGGGGGTAAATGGAGTTCCTCCCCCACAGTCAGGCTGCAATGAGAAAGCCCTCTGTGTCACTGGCCTCACAGCCTCCTCCCTGGTGGCCAGCAGAAAGCCAGGGCAGATTTTACTGCAGGACACAGTTGGTGTGTGCTTCCTGGAACAGCTGAGCACCAGGCATGGAAAGCTATAGCTGGCCCAGATCTCCCTCTACCTGGCTGCCTGAGAGGCGGGCAAGTTGTTGCTGGTCAGGTTCTCCATGATGCTGTGATCTTCCAAGGTCCTGGGGAGGCTTATGCCTCATTCTGTGGACTGTGCCCTTGAAGGCTGTGCTTTGAGACGAGAAGGATGGTCAGGGGTGTGGTGCTTTGTATTTGTCAAAAGAAGCAGGTGAGGAAGTCTGGCTCTCCTCATCTGACTGCAGCCCGGTCCTTTGAGGAGGATGGACAGTTTGCACAGCTGAGCCTGCAAAGCAACAAGAGGGCCTGGCAACAAAGGTGACAGCCCAGACAGGGCTCTCAGAGCTCCAGCAAGCTGGCATGGTTCCCAAGCCTCAGCTTTCCCTGTCCAGGCTTGACTATGGGGGCACCTTCTGCCCTGAACTCCTTCGCTTTTTTCCGTTTCCCTCACTTCATCTTGTGGTCTGCATTTTGTAGCCGATTTGGGACATTAGTGCTTTGTGTAGCCATGGTCCTCAGATCCCGTCTGGTCCCCAATGCAGCTTTCATCTCTGCAGATGGCATTTCATCCAGGGAAAGAGGCAAAGTTCACAGGCAGGCGCATTCACGTTCTAGGGACATTAGTGCTTTATGCAGCCATGGTCTTCAGATCCCAGCCTGGTCCCCAATGCAGCTTTCATCCCTGCAGATGGCATTTAATCCAGGGAAAGAGGCAAAGTTCACAGGCAGGCGCATTCACGTTCTAGGTTTTTAAACATCTCCATAAGGTTCCCATGGAGCCTTTCACAAAGCTGCATCTTCAAACACCTTCCAATTTCAGTGGACACAAAGATCATTCACGTGCCTCAGAGGGGACATGGGCTGGCAGAATGAAAGCTTTTCTGTCTGAACCTATAGCAGGGCCCCGCCCATATGACACCTTGGTCCTCATTCTTCACCCAGAGGTCATATCTATGATCACCTTGTCAGGACATTGTTCACAACGCTGCCCAGAGTCGCCTCCAACAGCATAGCACAGGGCAGAGGGTCCTATCCCTGGGCTGTACTATGAGGACTTTCAGCCTAGCAGGCCTGTAGGCTGTACCCAGGGCTAGGGCAGAGCCAGAAGTCCAGATCACAGCATGGCCCATATTTCCTGCTCTCTGCCAAGCAGCCAGTGGCCCTTTGGCCTCTCCTACTAGGATCACTCAACTAGTCAAGAGATCCTTACAGTGGAAGCTGAGGTCTGAGCTTTCTTTATAGACAGGAACTAGCATACAGAGAGTAACTGGACCATCCTGCTTCTCTGCTTGAACTGAGGATGCAAAGTTTGGGATGTTTAGGCTAATTGGTTATATGTCCCAGGCCAAGTCTCAAAAGTGTGAGCTGCCAGCCCCACGTACCAGGAACCATCCTGGATCGGTTTCTTCCTTGCTCTATTCCATTCTGAAAGTCTGGGATGATCACCATGCATTCCTCACAGGATGTGGTGAGCCCTAAAGAGGACAGAGATGTGGGAACCCTCTCTAGCTGTCTATCAAGGTGACGATGGGGTCATGACATCTGAATGGCAGGTTCCCCGAGACAAGGCCACCCATGTTCTGCAGAGCATTTGGATGGGAGGAGGGGAAGCCAGTGTGGGATGCTGGTCTCAGATCACCAGGCTGAGCACACGTAGCCTCCAGATATCCCTGTGCTTCCCGTGTGTCTGGCCTCGCCTCTCTCTGCTCAGAGAGATGCACTGTACTGTCACACTCATCCCACTGTCTAAGCCTTACAATGCTTGTTATCTCTCTGGAGTGTCAGCCCTGCCTGGGGTAAACAGCCTGGAGCCAATCCCACATGGTAGGCAGAGGGAAGCCAGAAGAAAGGCAGGGAGATGCCAGACAACACTGGACATGGCTCCTGCCCACATGAAGCAGGTGCGAGTCCTGGTGTGTAGACTATGGAAGGGTCTATAGGAGCCATGAAAGCAGGGAGCCTGTCCATCTGAGAGCCTGTCCACCTGAGAGCCTGTTCCTGGTGGATTGCACGCACCAGTGCAATCAGCAAGCCGCAGACAGCGATCCCTCTGAGGGATGATAGCATCAGGCCAAGTGCCAATGGAGAGCATGCCACATCATTGAGTCCTTTGGGGTAGTCATAGTCGTTGGTACCGGGAACCTGAGTGGTGGCATGTCTGCACATCAGGGGAGAGTCAATCTAAAGTGGCTTTCCTTCTTTCTCACCTCAGGGTCTTTGGTCACATCAGCTTCCGCTCTGACTGGGAGCTGGTCAAGGTGGACTTCCGGCCCTCCTTCCCCAGGCAGTGTGGTGAAGATGACTATAGCTCTTGGGACCTCACTGACCTCCAGGTAGGGCAGGCATAAGTCTCTTTTCTCTTTCAGGGAATCTCACAGATGCCAACCTCCAGGCATCTTCCCACCCAAGGATTTTGTGGGCCATCCTTGTACCTGTAGCTGCTCTGATCTGTATCTCTTCATGACCCTAGAGTCTGCAGGGCCTGAGCGCTACCCTCAGCCAGGTCCCCATGATAGAATTTGGGACAAGAAATGGGCAAAGACTATATGACATCAGGGTCTGGGACCATCCTATGTCATAATTCACCATCAATGTCTAACCCTCACACCTTGGGTTGAACATGAGGCCCCATGTCAGCTCCTGGAGGGTGGTATAGGGAAGCTGACACTTCAGTGGGTACCTAAGGGAGCTGCAGGTGTGATTTATTGGCACTCGCTGAAGCCATGGTCAGCCTGGAGGGCTTTATTAAAGACCAGGGAAGGTAGAGTAGCAGGTGGAGATTTATAGCCAAGGATGATGGAAGACTCCTGGATTGAGGAGACACCTGGATTCTGACTGAGCCACTAGCTGGGACAGTCTCTGAAGCCACCCAGGGTCTGGATACCTTTGTAAGTGGAGCTCTGATGTCGAGAGTTCACAGATAGAGGACGGTCTGGCTTGTGACTCAACAGCCCTCTGCAAGAAAGTACTCAGATGGGCCTAGAGAACGTTCCAGAACTGCTACAGCTACACAGAGTTTGCCCCAGTCTTGCCCCATCACTACCAGGGGATCCTCTTTTGGGGATCAGGGTAGTATTGCTCCAAGCACAGCCTGAGAACCTACTGTCTGTCTACATGAGCCCTCCAGGCATGGCTTATCCACAGACCTTCAGAGACCTGGCCTCTATTGGCCCAGATGTTCCGTGACCACCAAGAGCCAGTCATTATGCTGAAGGTGAGGGAAACTGGACCAGTTGACTGGCATGTCAAGTTCTTTTGGACCTCAGTTTTCCTGTGGTTTTCCAGTTTTCTAGCTGCCACCAGGGCAGGGGACAACAAGACAAGCTGATGACAGCTGTCACCATGCTCTGTTGGTTCCTCACCCTGATGCTCCTTCTACAGGGTGATCACTGCATCATGGGCCAGCAGAGAAGTTACCGGAAGAGGAAGTCCACATCCTGGTGTGTCAAGGGGAGGAGCTTCATATCGGCGCTCACATCACGCGTGTGCAAGTGCCGGGACTCTGACTTCCTCTGGTGGGCACTGCCCCTCCCTCCTGGATGCTCTAACATCTTTATATCATGAGGACCTTGTCCTAGAACCAGGGAAGAGGCCACAGTGTTCTTTAAGGCCTCGTCTCCAGTCCCACACTGCCACCTCTACCTTAGCTACACTCACCTGTCACCTCTCCTCCCCCTAGGAATTTATTCCCCTCAAAGGCCCACGGCCTTATGACAATGTAGTCGGCAATGGCACCACCCTCAACCTGCCTCACCCCCTCTACCCTGCACCCCACACTCAGGCCTCCTGTGCCTTTCCCAGGGCAGCTAGTCCTGGCTGCACAGCCACTCCTTGCTTCTCTCTCTATCTCTAGCATCCTTTGAGAGTCACCCTCTTGCCACAAGAAACCCTCCAGGCTCCACTTCATTTTTACCCCCCTGTTCTGGAATGGAGCTAGTATGTTTCATCTGTCCTCCTCTGGAACAAACTTGTCCATGTCCCTGCAGATGGATACATCTAGACCTGTGGCATAAGAATCTCCACCTTGGCCATCTGTCACCTCTAATCTCACCTTTTAACCCAGCTTTCCCTCCCCAGTGACTACGGGTTTGAGCGCTCGTCTTCCTCAGAGTCTACTGCCAACAAGTGCTCCGCCAACTTCTGGTTTAACCCTTTGTCCCCTCCTGAAGACTGTGTCCTGGGCCAGACCTACACCAGTAGCCTTGGGTGAGTACAGCCAGCAGCCAGCTAGCCACACATCCATCCAACCACCCATCCATCCATCCATCTATCTACCCACCCTCACAACCATCCATCCATCCATCCATCCATCCATCCATCCATCCATACATACATACATACATACATACATACATCCCCGCACCCATCCACCCATCCACCAATCTACCCACCTTCACATCCAGCCAGCCCTCACCCATCAGCTCCAGGAGGAGAGCCCAGACATTCCCTATACTGTGCTTCCAGGCAATCCACAGCTTAGAAGTTGAGACCATGGTCCTGGTGCTCAGGGCTGAGCAAATCACCAGACTGACACAGTGGCCCACAGGTCACATTGAGCTCTTGGGGCTAGAGTCAGGAGAAAGCTCCCTTGAGTTGGCACAGTATAGAGAACAGGTGGGCAGCAAAGGTCCCAAGGCTTCCAACTGCTGTGTGACTGAGACCTCAGGGCAGTCTCACCTTTCTCTGGTTCCCTGGGCCTTTCACGGCCATGCTGTGATGGTACCTGAAGCCTGAAGCCTGTGGGACTCTGCTTAAACAAACCTTCCATGTGGAAGCCTTGGTAGATCACATTCCCAGCCTCTCCTCCCCACCCCTCAGGCTTTCCTTTCTGAAATACTCACCTGCTGGGCCTTAGCTCATGACACACTGTGAGGCTTCCTGCAGTCTGCTATGTTGGCTACAAGCTCTGCAGGAGGGGGAAGTGGCAGGCAGACCCTTCTCCCCACTGAGGGGGTGGGACTGAACACACTGTTTATAACGTATTGATTTCATGTAGAAATAGCAAGCACATAATATCTGTGAGCTTTCAGCTTCAGCAGGGTCCACAGCCTCCATGTGATGGGCCTATTCCCTTATCCTTTGTGAGGGATTCCTTATTATCTACCATGGAAAGCTGGAAGAAACAGAGGGCCAGGAACTGAATGCTTTCACTTTGGTAGTACGTAGCCTGACATCTATCAACTATCCACTCACTTATCTACCTCCATCCATTTATCCATCCATCCATGCATACATGCATACATAATCCACCCATCCACTCTTCTACCCACCTACCACTTCCATCTACGTCCTATTCGTCTATTCCTTCTACATAGCCACCCTTTCATCCACCCATCTACCCAACCACAAGTCATCTATCCACCCTCCCACCTACCCACCCACCCATCCACTCATCCTTATACCATCTACCTATCCATCCATTTCATCCATTCCCTGTTCATCTATACATCTATTTGTTCCATCCATTTGCCCATTTATCTACCTACCTCCCCACCCACACACCCGCCCATCCTCCCACCAATCTGTCCATCCATTCTTCTGCCTCCACAAATACCCATCTTTCTATAGTCATCTACTCTTGATATTGCTCCTGGCTGACACTTCAGATAAGAATCGTTGCTTGCCAAGCCACGGTGGGGCTGCCAAAGAGACCATTGTGCCACTGTTGGATGAGTGGGTGGATATATGGGTAGTGGATGGGTGGAACCATCCCATGAAGAGCAGCATGCTTGCTTATGGCCACCCAGGAAGCCAAGGTCCAGCCCATCTCAGCCACTCTGTGCTCCACAGTTCTCAGGAAGACCTTGACTTTAGACTGCCTCTTTCTATCACCCCTTAGCAAACACACACACACACACACACACACACACACACACACACACACACACACACAAAACAAAAGCATTTTATTGCTGTGGACAATATGATCTGGCCATGGATGCTTCAGCTCTCCAAAGCAGACCCGTCCAGCCAGTCCCTCCATCCTGATGTGCAGTGCTCTCGGCTCTAACTTGGACAGAAGCAGCCATGAGGTAGCATGGGGAACAGGCAGCAAATGGGGCTGTAGAGATTGGAGCCATGAGTGGCCTCCGGAGAGGAGACCATCCCTACCTATCAAACCACTTCTGCTCTGGACCTGAACCTCCCTCATCCACCCAGGTACCGGAAGGTGGTATCCAACGTGTGTGAAGGTGGTGTGGACCTGCAGCAGAGCCCGGTGCAGCTGCAGTGTCCCCTCACAGCACCCCGGGGCCTGAAGGTGAGCATCCACGGAGAGGCCGTGGCTGTGAGGCCTAGAGAAGATGTGCTCTTCGTGGTGCAGCAGGAACAGGTGAGCATCATCCTGGACTGTCCCTGGAAGGGCAGCTTCAGCCAGGTACCCAACGGTGGGGCTCTGGACAGTTTGCAGCATGGCCAGAGAGGCCAGCCTGGCCCTGAGGGTGGGGCCACAGGATCGAAATTGGCCTCTTGGTTCAACCAGTATTGGAGATGAAACAGATACAAGAGCAAATGTGTATGTCAGATAGTCAGCAGGAAATGGGCTCCACATCGCACATGTATGTACCTGTGAGGGCATAGATGTGTATATGTGTATGTGTGTATGATCTTGTGTTTGACAAACATTGATATGAAATTGATTCCTTCCCACAGGTGACACTGAACTTATTTTATTGATTTTTTTTTCTTCTAATGCTAAGGATGGAACCCAGGGCCTTATGCAAACTAGAGAGACACACTCTTCTCCTGAGCCACACCCTCAGCCCAGCACTAAAGCAACTTTAAACTTCTAATTATACCGATTAGTTGATCTGGAATCCCAACAAAAGCATAAAGTATTTTTTAAATGATTTGTAATCACAATCCAGGGATAATGCCTTCTGTATGTATTTAAGGATAGATATAAATACAAGTTTATATATATATATATGCACACAAATATATATATTTTTCTCCGCCCAGTCTCCCACTCATTCTATTTTTACTTCAGAACAAGTGTTACATTTTTTTTCTGGTTTTAAAAATAATATATGCTCATTGTAGTATATTTAGGAAACACAAACACACATATTTTTAAAAGCACCATGGACATAAATATCACCCAAAATCCTGTTCCCTGAGGGAACTGTTAACTTTTCTGTTTCCTTCTGGTTCCTATAAACCTAACAGTTTACGAGAAACAACCCTGTGTCTCTGCTGAAAAAGGCAGCTAATGATCCCTGCAAGAAATGCAAAAATGACCGTTGGGAAAAATGCTCAGAAAACTTAAAGGAGGATGGAGAGCCCCCCTTCTCCGCAGGGCTCTGGGTAAACCCCACTCACAGAGGCAGAGGGAGGGCCCCCACTTTCCCCCAGGATTCTGGGTAGTCTCCACATCACAGGTCAGCAGGAGTGCAAATCTTCAGCTAACGGATGTGAGGGAGGGCTAATGTGGATGAACCCGGGACGATGCATGCTATACGCAAACATTTTTTAAAAGGTGTCTGACTTTAGAAGTGTATGACTGGCCTCCTGAAAACAGGGAAACTGAGGCCACGGAGAACTCAGACCAGCCACGCTAAGCACCTCTGCACCAGACACTGTGTTAACTGTTGAAAAGCGCTCGTGCATTGTGCACTCATTCCAATTTATAGATGAAGAAACGGAGGCACAGGCAGCGAAGTGACTCTCTCAAAGCTGCATGGTAAAAAGAAGCAGAGGTGGCATTGTGTCCTCTGGAGACCCACCTACTGTCCCAAGCAGACAGTAGCCAAGTCTGTGGCCCCCAAGCACCCTACCTCCACCGCCCCCGGAAACACAACCACCCACACTACCTCCCAGGTCCTCTGACTGGTTGAGACAGCCCTAAGGTTCATTTGAGCCGCCAGACAACCCTGCCTCAGGGCTGCGTATCTCATATCTCGGACTGTGTTGGGATGACAGGACAGAGCCCCTAGTCAGCTTGGTCAGACAGACCCAGCAAAAGCTCTCAAATTCCTGGCCAGACAGCCTGGAAACATGGCCCTCTGCTGCCCCCTAGAGCTTGATACTAGGACCTACAGCACATCTGGGTAGGAGCCTCTGCTGGGTCAGGAGGACAAGAAGACAGAGCATCTTTGGAACCGTTGCTGGGCTGCTTGTCGGACTCAAGCTGGAGCGGGCAGAGTTGAGGGGAGCAACACAAAAAGGCCTTGAAATAGAGGCTTCCGGGGCAATCCCAGCCTGGGAGGGAAGCGGGTATGAGCATGGGCCTGAGGGTAGGCATATGCACACTTACACTGTGACAGACTCCCTTACACACTCATATACACTCACAGGCACAGTATGCACTCCTTAGCTACACACACACCTACTCTCTTACTCATCACTGGGCTCGAAAACAATGTTGAGTGTGAGGAGCTGGAGTCTACTAAGAATTCACAGCTTTGGGGGATGGAGGCCAGGAACAGACCCGTAAGACACCTGCCTGCGCTTGACAGGTGCAGAGCAGACTCGGGGAGGCGGTGTCTCTCCATCAGCAACAGCACCTCCCCCCCCCCCCAGACCTCAGACAGGAACCCCAAAATAGACCACACACCTGCATAGGAAGTGGGAAGGTGTAAACTTTTAGGAGCCACGTTGAAGCCAGCCCAGAAGCGCAGTCTGGGGAACTTCAGCAGAAATGGGGCTCTGAGCCACACAATGAAACCTTGACATGTCGGTGACATCTCGATTTGGAGCTGTTGAGAAGATAGAGGCAGCTACGGATGGGAGGGCATCTGGGAAGAACTCCCAGGCACTGTAGCCTTAAATGGGAAATAAACACGAGGGGACACTGGCCATAGCGGGCTCCACAGGTGGCAAGCAAGTGGACAGGAGGACGTACACGAAGGTGTGAACTTTGAAGGACGGGGACTTTAAAACCACAACCAGACACCCACTTCTTGAATGCTACCCAGAACTCTCCCCTTCATAAGAATCATTTGGGTGTGGACATTTCCCTCGCTTCTCACCCAACCCCGCCAGGAGAGCCATAGACAGAGAGGCCACTTCCAGAGTCTGGATGCCTGAAAGCCTCAGTCTCGCAGCCTATACAATGGACACATGTAGCACCATATATGCTGGGTCCTGGGAATGCCCCATCAAAGCCTCTGGACGTTGTGGGCATTGTGGGAGCTCCTTGGCTCATGGCTGCCCTTTCCAGGGTCTGCCTCTGTGTCCACATAGCCCCCACCTGCTGCCCAAACAACCAGGGTTTTCTCTCCAAGTCTCCTACCCTCGGGTTTCTTGCACTCCATGCCCCCATGAGACCTACTCTCAATGACCTGAATCTGCAGGCTTATTTTAAATATCTATTTTGGATCGTCCCAACAGACATGGATTTTGGATGACCCAGTATAGCATATTCATAGAGAAAGTTAAATGAACCTGGATGGTGGTGGCACACATCTTTAATCCCAGCTCTGGGAAGGGAGGCAGAGGCAGGCAGATCTCTGTGAGTTCCAGGCCAGCCTGGTTTAGAGTGCCAGGAAAGCCTGGGCTACACAGTGAAACCTTGTCTCAGAAACAAGCAAACAAGAGAAAGCTCAATGAACATGGTTTACATTCAGGTGCCCTTGGCTTTTGAGGTCTGAGGGGTGTGAACTAGGAAGACTGCTGATGGCTAGTGTGGGGTGAACAGGCCGGAGAAGAGGGCATGGAAGGCAGGCGGACAGCGGAGGGGAACTTGAATGTGGATGAAAGTGAGGCTGGGAGCTGGGGTCAGCTAGGTCACAGGAGCCCCTTCTTGCCTGCCCCACACAGCTGAGCCTCATTCCTGGTGTGGTGTGGGATGAGATGAGAGATGGGAAGCCGTCATGTCAAGAGACAGTTGTTTTCTTTGTTGTGTTTCCCTGAAGAGACATCATGCCAAGCCTTCTCCATCTGCATGTGACACCCCCACTTTCCTGTCCAGTTCTGTGGCCTGGCTCAGGCTCGGGGTTCCCCCTGGGCCCCACACAGCCTTCAAAATGCTTCTCCAAAATCTCACCCATGCTGTTCTGCTCCACGGGACCTTCCTTGGTCCCGTGAACCATCTGCCAGCTCAGCCCACTGCAGGCTGAAGCCCTGAGAGGAGAGAAAACCTCTTCTCTGTGGCCTCACTGAACCAACATCTGAGGGGAAGAGGGAGAGGGTGGGCATCTCATGTTGGAAGCCCACCAAGAGAGTCACTCCTAAGTGACCCCATGGCATTTCCCTACAGGGTGACATCCTGACCACGAAATATCAGGTGGATCTTGGAGATGGCTTCAAGGCCATGTACGTGAACCTCACTCTGACGGGCGAGCCCATCCGGCACCACTATGAGAATCCTGGCATCTACCGCGTGTCTGTCAGGGCTGAGAACATGGCGGGCCATGACGAGGCTGTGCTCTTTGTCCAGGTCAACTGTAAGTCCACCTATTCCTTTTCTTGTGAAATGGAGAGCCAGGGCTTTGGGGAAGCACGGTGAATCTTGTAGGGTTGGTTCAGCTCCTCAGGACAGTTAGGCCACGGACAGAAAGGCAGGTGGGCTGGGCTCAGTGGTCCCAACGGTCTTCATAGAAGTAACGGTGGGCATGGTAACAATGGCGGTCATGGTGATGCAAGCAATGGTAATGACGCTAGTAATAGCGATGACGATAGTGATGACGAGAGCAATGATCGTGGCAGTGATGACAGAGGCGATGCTGCGGGTGGTGGTGATGATAACAGTGAGAGCGCTAATAACAAGGACGGTGATAGTAATGATGGCGATAATGGTGGTGATACTGGTGATGGTGGCGCTCTCGCTGCATTGATGATGGTAGTGGTCACAGCAGCGGTGGCAAAAATGGTGATGCTGGTGATGATTGTGGTGGTGGTGGTGATGGTGATATGATAATGGTGATGGTGATGGTTGTGATAATGGTAATGAGTGTGATGATGATAGTGATGATGGTAGTGACAGTGGTGGTGAGTAGATTAGCTATTTTTATGTGGATACAATTGTAATACCTGACAGAAGCACCTAAGAAAGATTTGTTTTGGCTCACCGTTTCAAAGCGGTAATGTCTATCAATGAAAGAAAGATGTGGTATCATTCAGAGCAATAGCAGCATGTGGGATTGAGGGGCTCCTCACATCACAGTATAGGAGACAGAGGATGAGAGCCCCTCAAAGGTCTGCTTCCCGTGGACTGCGTCCACTAGCTAAACCCACCTCTACAGGTTCCTCGGCCTCCCTAAAGAGTGTCTCCAGATAAGACATGTAAACTAAAACCAGGAACCTAAGGGGGATATTTTAAATTTAACCCATAATGTTCTTCCTCTGGCCACAGAGGTTCACAGTTTACATCTCTAATGCAAAATGCATTCAGTACAGCTTCGTGGGTCACCATGGTCTTGACAGTTCCAATGGGGTTCAGAGGTCTAAGCCCAGAGACTCCGTTCAGACCCACAGGAACCTCTTAGCGGCCCTTGTAAAAGGCAACCCTGCACTTCCTCTCTACAGTGAGCACTGCCACCCTGAAACAGGATCCAAACAGGACTGAGGCACAGCAAGGAAACACGGAGTCCCATAGCTGTGTGTAGCCCCTGCAGCGTGTGGTGGCATCGTGGCTTTGGCCGTCCATTTTAGCTCTCTCTCTCTCTCTCTCTCTCTCTCTCTCTCTCTCTTTGCATTCACTGCAGTTTTCTCTACAGACGCTTCATGTTCCCCCACCCCAGGTCTCCAATCAGTCTCAGGCCTCCCCCTTGAAGCTTTGTGAATTGCCCTGTCAAGGTAGCCCTGAAGGGAATTCAACCTCGCCATGTGCACATTGCCTGGCTTAACAAACGTTCCTTTAAAATCTGAGTACAAGTGTCCGTGACCCTATAACTCTTGCATCCTGCATGCCCGAAAACCCAGTACTACTTTTCCAAATGCTTTTCACAGAGCAGTACCAGAGGCTTAAACTTGTATGGTCAGATTTAGCGAGAGCAGCAACCCCACATACCTGCTAGCAGTTTCCTGTCTTCGTGACTTTTGCTTCTCTGTGAGCACAACACCTGACAAGAAGAATCTGGCGGGGGTGGGGGGAGACTTACTTTGACTCAGACTTCCAGATGGGTTCACTCCATCTTGGTGGGAAAGCACAGTGTAGTTCATGGTGAGGGAGTATGCGATACCAGAGGCTGCTCAGACCATGGTGAAACATGGAGCAAAGAGTGAGATTTCTGTCAGGGAACAAGCGTTTGAAACACGATCCTGCAGAGACAGTTTAGATTCAAACCTTAACATTGGTAGTAAGGTTGGGGATGGTAATGGTGACGGGGAGGGTGGGTAGAGATGATTGTGATAGGTGAGTGGTGATAGTGGTAAAAGAAGAAGAAGGAGGAGGAGGAGGAGGATGTGGGGTTGCTGATGGTGGTGATGATGTTGATGGGTTGTAGTGAGTGGTGGTATTGGTGATGGTGGTGATGATGGTAATGGTGATGATATTGGTAGTGGTGGTGCTGATGGTTATGGTGGTGCTGGTGATCATGCTCATGGTAGTATTTGATGATGATGGTGATGATGATGGTACTGTTGTGATGGTCGTGATGGTACCAATGGATCTGATGGGGACAATGCCTAGTAAGTAGCCACTGAAAAGTCCTGTGCCTCACTGTCTCCTAACCCTGAACTTTTGGGGACTCTTCAGCTCCCCTGCAGGCCCTCTACCTCGAGGTAGTTCCTGTCATTGGCATCAACCAGGAGTTGAACCTCACAGCCGTGCTGTTACCCCTGAACCCCAACCTCACTGTCTTCTACTGGTGGATCGGCCACAGCTTGCAGGTGCGCCCTACGCCCCTTCTCAGTCACCCCCTCCCATAGAATGCCATCTGGTGTGTCAGGTGGGGCAGGGTGCTGCCCTGGGAACCTGGCATCTGGGCACAGTGTGGAACCCCTGAGAGGGACCGGCCCTGGCCTTCCTTCCCTCAGTACCCACCCAGAGCACCTAAAAGGCCCGTGGCTAGTCCTGGGAAAGACACGGGATACAGATAGAGTAGTTGCCCGGAAGTTCAGGTGTGACATGTGTCACAGGAGGGCTCAGGGGAGGCTTTCTTTAGTGGAGTGGTCAGGGAAGCCTTCTTGGAAGACTTCACTGGGAGGAATAGAACTTGGCCTCACTCAGAGGGCTGTGATGTACCACTGTGGTCCATGGGAGCCACCAACAGTTCTTGAGCAAGAGATGCAATGAGGCAGCAGAACATGTGATGAGGGGGCAAGACTGTCCATCCTTAAGACCTTTGGAGGGGGATCCTTTCCTCACTCAGGGTGCAGTAGCCCTAAGCCTCCACAAAGGGCTAAAAGAAGGGAGGGGCCTTGGGCACAGGGTCATGTCTCTTGAAGTGGGAGGCTTCTAGAAGAACCAGGTGCTCTGTGTATCCTTGCCACCCAAGCCCCAGCTCACCTCCCAGAGCCTTGTTTATATAAGGTTAAACCACCACCTATCCATGATGAGGATGGCTGCCTCCTGCCACTGGCCAGGGCCTGAGCTCTTACTGTAGCCGGGACAGTAAACAGAACTGAGATGAGGCACAGTGCCTGAACTTGTGGCTGCCTAGCAGACAACCAAAAGGCTCTGTAGGAGGCCACAGGCAGCTTCTAGATTCTAGAGTCTAGAAAGATGTGTCATGCTATGGAAGCAGGACATGTTCCTTGTCCAGCTTAGAACTAAGGCACGCTCACCCACCCCCATCCCACCTCCCAGACACTGCCAGTGAAGAAGCCTCCAGCCACCCACTTGCTGATGAGAACCAGGACCAGCACAGTCCCAGTGCGTGGCCCTGACAGTAGACCAAGGGCCAGTGTCTCCATAGCACTCCATCCTGCCAGTGAGGTCTGACCCTGCTTGTGCCCACAGCCTCTGCTTTCCTTGGACAACTCAGTGACAACGAGGTTTACGGATGCCGGGGACGTGCGTGTGACAGTGCAGGCTGCCTGTGGGAACTCAGTGCTGCAGGACTCCAAGGTCATCCGTGTGCTAGGTGAGTTGTCCCCTGATGCTTTACACAGGCCAGTGTGGGCCTGTTCCCTCCTGGATGACCACAGGTTGCAGAGAGGAGTCCAGGTAGATTCGGGTTCTGTGACTGGCTATGTGGTCTTATTAAAGTGTCCCAGACTCTCTGGACCCAGTTTCCTCCCTCTATGAAGTGAAGTGTCTCATGAGACTAGTGAGTCTGTTGGTCAGTGATCTAACAACAAGGACAGGTGAGCTTCTGTGTCGCCACCTCCACAGGCCTCTCCACTTACACCTGCCACTCTGAGGATGGTCCATAAGAGGACCTGGGGATGGTCATCACTTACCTGGGCTCCCCAGGGCTGTCGTCTCCTCAGTACAGTACTGTGACTGAAGGAGAACATTACCCCTTCAGCACATCTGAAACTCACTTGTCTCAGGAACACCCTCTAAAATTGACTGCAGCCATCAGTCACATTAGGGGCCTTCAGGGTGAGAGATGAGGCTGCCCTGAGCTGGTCCTCCCTTCACTGTGGACCTGGGGATGCCCACACCATAGAATATTGGGCCACAGTTCACAAAATACTGTCCCCTGAGCCCTCTGCCCAGCAGAGCTGTTTCCCACTCTGTAAGAGAGAAAGGAGAAGGAAGCCGGGACAGGTGTGTGTGTGTGTGTGTGTGTGTGTGTGTGTGTGTGTGTGTGTGTG